TTCATCCTGCGTGGCAGAGGAAAGAAAGAAAGCAGGGCTAGAAAGGAACTGCTTTCTGCCAAAGCAGCCCCTGGGGAATCCCAGAGCTGCCAGCCAGGGCTGGCCAGTGGGAAATGGGAGCTGAAAAGCTGCCATGGGATGTAGTGCATGGGGGAGGCATGAGCAGGTGCCTCCAGATACCCCTCAGGACCCTCTCTGTTCCTCTGGACTGGCTCCTTCATGAATTGCAGCACTATTATCAGTTCTGCCATTTCTGGAGTTTCCAAGATTTTTGAAGCAAGGAGCTTGGCATGCCACAGGCTCCAGGTATTTACAGGGTACCTGAATGAGTTGTTTGTCAGCAGCTTAGCCCAGCTCCTTCTAGGAAGGAAGGGTGAAGCCAGAAGTACCAAGCCCGGACTCTGCTTTGGGCAGGAGGGTGGAATATCTCCCAGCACTTTGGGATCCATGCATGGGGGGCTGGAAACACAATCTGCAGGCTGGGACACAGGAAAGCTAGTTTATATCCCTGATCTGTTGAAGAATAAGCCCCTATTCTTGGACAAATCACTTAATCTCCCAATGCCTTAGTTTCCTGTTAGCAAATGATACTCCTTATCTTTCACCTCTCATCTCAGCAGAGGAAAGAGTTTGTCTTTTGGTATATATCTCGTTACAGTTCTTTGTCCAGTGGCTGGGGCCCCTCTACCTTGATTAAATAAGTAATTGAATTTAGATTAAATGGTCTAATGCAGTCCTGCCTGGTGGTTGCTGAAACACTTGAATGAGAGTTCATTCAGAGCCTGTCTTTCCATTTCCTCATAAGGCCAAGACATGAAGTAATTAGATGTGGACGTAGGTTTTTATTGTAGCATGATGACAGAGATCAGTGGTTATTGGTAGGAATGGCTTTCATAATCTAGTTTAGTGGTCATTTACCTTTCAGTGACCTTGGTGTCAGGCAAAATTGGCAGCTCTTTTGCAAGGAATGCGCTTCCTCAATGAGGGCTTTGCAAGCTGTCTCATTTTTGGCTCTAGCTTCACATGAACTAGGATAGACCGTGCTGCAATGCAAGACACTTTCAGTCTGCAAAGAAAGGCACAGGCTCCTGCCAAAAGAAGCCCTTTTCAGTGCTGTTCTGCTGCCACTGAATTGCCAGTGGAACAGATCAGCTGTGTCTAAAGCATCTCTCTGCTTATTGCTGCAGCCCAAGTTGCAGCCTTCAAACTGAGAGAGCCTGTGGTGGTCAGAGGCAGCCCAGGGATTTCTGTAAAAAGGGTTGCATTGTCTTGGAGTAAAAGAAGGGAGAGCGTATCTCATCATCCAGTTAAGTGCATGCAAGAAGAAGGAGCTGGTCATTCTGATTGTAGCCTCCCCCCTTAAAGTCCTAATTACATCAGTAAAAAATGTAATTTTGATAAACACTTTAAAGTATCAAACTGTCAGTGATGATTATCCACTCATTGCAGATGCAAATCAGTGAAGTTTCCCATTGACTGTAATGCTCCTACACCAGTTTCCATCATGTGTTGTGAAATCCTTTAGGGTTTTATCTTGTTACTGATGCCTGTTGCCATGGAGAAGAACATGCCATGAGCTGTGCTGTGATTTCTCATGGCATCCCAGATCTGTGGCCATGCCTTGTGGGGAACTGGAGTAGTTCATATCCCGGTGCTTGAGAGTGCCAGATTCAGTGCAGGTGTTCACAGTGACCTTGGCCAAGCCTCTTAATTTTTCTGACAACCTTAGAGGTAATCCCCTGCTTTCTGTGAAGGAGGCTGGATTTTTGTAAGATCTGTGAAGTTCTTTATTTGAGGTGGTGTGGGGCCAGAAGTATTAGTTGAGTCACAAAGAAGTGCTATGAGAGTTGAGAAAAGTGATGGAGCAATGGAAATAGGTATCAAAAAGCATCTGAGAATTTCTCTGCCTTGTGAACTTGGCCTTCTGTCTGCTTCTGATCTCTCCTCCTGCTGCTCAGCCATATGATTTTGCAAATACATTCCTTGCATCTGCAACTACTGCCCTGCAGAGCAAGCCTAGCTACAGGAATCATCTCTTTATGTGATCTCATTTCTAAACTGCTAAGATAAGGAGAGCAAATCAGTGTAGCTTGGAGGGAGAACCATTTGTCTCACGCTGCTTTGGATAACCACCAACCTGGTTTTACCACGAATGTGCTCCATACATCACCACCACAGCATGACAAGTCCTTAGCTGAGATCAAGCAGTGGCTTCCAGCACTCAGAATTCTCAGATGGTTTAATGTACAAGGGCTCTCAACTGTTTTTAGTCCTATGGACCTGCTGAGACCTGCTGTGATAGTGGCTTGCACAGAGGATCCTACAGACCTTCCTCATATTTATCTGTTTCAGTTCTCACATTCATCAGTCTCTGATAAGTATTAGCTTGTTCTCCCTCTGATAGGAGAGAATAAATGGTCAATGGAGTTTATTTTTGCAGGTATCAGGTTTGGATTGGGAATGTCCAGCTGAGATCAGAGACAGTTTTATAGGAGCAGATGGTTTATATACTGCTTCTTGCAGAAGAAGAGCAAAATTAATCTCTCTTGAGTCCCCAGAGTCTGAATCCATTGAAGTCTGACAGAGTCTTTCCACTGACCTCCGTGGCCCCAGGATCACATCCTAAATGAGCTGCTTTGAGTCACTGGGAGCCTGAGTTCAGCTTTGGTGGGCTGGAAAATGTAACCTACTGTATGGGCTGTGCTATTCATGAGCGCTCAGCCCTGTGTGTGTGCTAGCTGTGGATGCCTGGGAGAAGAATAAAGTCATTTTCTGCAGTCTGGGGTGGAGGAGGGAATGGGAATTATATCCCCTTCCCTCAAACCCACTGCTGACAGCACTTGGGAGCTGACCCGCTTCTGGAGCTTCAGATGAAGGTTGGGTGTTCTTGGTACTGTTTCTTCTGATATCACCCCTAATATCACCCTAAAAATGTCCTGTCCAACTGGCCTGACCAGTGAGAACTGACCTCAGTTTGAATTTTCTGGAGTGGGCCACTGAAACAGTTGAGTRTAGCAAGGCTGTGATTTACCCTAGTGGGGTTTCCTTAAGCTTGGAACAAACAGGGTCCCTGGAGCTTCAGAGAAACCTGTTGTGAGTAGGTTTGACACCATTCATTGCWTATTGGCATCCAGTATCATTATCAGCAAATGCTACCTCTTTCCTCACAGCTGATGGAAAAAAACTGCTGTTTGTTGAAGTGATTCCTTTTTTCTCTGGGCAAAACAGCAGCTAGCAAASACATTTGAGTTATCACAGCATGATGCAGGTGTTTTCCATTCCCTACTGATCCTAAATCAGACCTGAAGAGAATTAATTCGGTGTAGAGGGTATAGAATGCAGTGTGAATAACTACAAATTGGTTGGTTCCTCTGGAGCTGTTAGTGATTGATCTGGAGTYATTAGACTGTTTTACAATCAATCTGGTAAAGATTAATTCAGTGTGAGAGCAGTAGCAAGTTTTTTCAATTAATAGCTAACAACATAAACCTTTAGAGTGTAATTTATTTATCAATCTTCCAACATGTATTTACCCCAGAAAGGTTGCCTGGTGGCTACAGATAGGTGTATAAGAAGGTGATGACTTTCTCCTGCCCTTAAACAAATGTTCTTTGCGACCTTAAACGTGGTAGCTCTTTAAACAGAAATGCTCAGATGCTTTGTGAAACCAAATATTAACATTAGGAAACCAAAATACTAACACTTTTCAAGTTCATGGGTGTGCACTGCGACTCACAGGGGTTTTCTGTGATCAGCCAGTGTGGAAGTCCTGTAGGTAAAGGGAAAGGAGCATTTCCACACTAATGTTATCCCTGAGTTCCCTGGTGGAGTGCTGAGGAGTGGTGGTGGCAATCCCAAGGTTCACTGGCCATCCCCTGCAGATCCTCAGCGATGRAGAGGGGTGGCAGGGGAGCTCCAAAGGGGAGGAACCGTCCAGGTTGGCTCTGTTCCCACACACTGCCATTCCTGCCTGGCACTTCCTCTCCCTCTGCATAATCCTCTGCTATTTCCTCCTCCCGCCCCTGCTGCTAATTAGCCCACGATAAACTTTGGTGTGAACAAAAGCAAGCAATTAAGCGTCTGTTGCTTCAGCGTGAGCCGTGTCASAGCAGTGATTTGTTGGAGGCAGGGCAGTGCAGCACCTCCTCKGCAGGAAAACAAACCCATTAGCCTGGCTGAGGTGCTGGTGCTGGGGAGTGGCGGGTCCGAGCTGCTTTTCTGGGTGTGCAGGGGTGTCTTGGGCACAGCAGGGCTGCCTGAGGCTCTCAGAGATGCTGCTGAGCCTTGTGGCTTCAGTTTCACATGATCTCTGCGGTTACTGCCCAAGCAAGGTGGCCTGAGAAGTTACTGAATTGTAATTTTTGTGTAGAAGAGGTTGGGGATTTTTTTTTTTTTCTTTCTGGAATACATTCATGAACATTTTTCAAATTAATACAGACAGAGGAATAATGGTAGAATAAATCACAGAGTGGTTTGTGCTGGAAGGGACCTTGAAGATCATCTAATTCCAACTTTCTTTCCATGGCCAAGGACATCTCCCACTAGACAAGGATCCCATCCCTCCCAAATAAGGGGGAGACTTAGAAAGAGGAAGCAAAAAGCAGGACCTTTGGTAGATCCTGAGCCAAATGAGGTTTGAATTATGTTTGCCAGGTGCACGTATCAAGACCTTGCAAGCTGCTGTCATGTAATCTCAGCCCTAATGTTCAAAAACTCTCCAGGTTTTCTTTGTTTGAGCAAGARGTCCTAATGGAAGGAGAAAGGTATTTGCATGGGATTTTACTGCTGTGTGAACGGACTAAGGGAATTTKGAGATTTTTTTAGTTTGGGACCCATTTTCTTTCCAAAACTAGAGGCAGGGTTCAAGCTGGAAAATTAAACATGAACTATTGCTGGGCAGAGAAAAGCTAAGGATCTTGGAAAGCATGGAATTAACGTATGTCCTCTTTTGACACACCACCCAGCTGCTTTGCCAACAGTTGTCTCTGTTTCTGTTGTAGCTCTTGAGCAGCTGCTCACGGAACTTGAAGATTTTCTGAGRATACTGGACAAGGAGAACCTGAGCAGCACTGCTGTGGTGAAGAAGAGCTTCTTGTCTGACCTTCTGAAAGTCTACACCAAGTCCAGTGGTACAGATGAGGAGAACCAAGGGTGGGGTGGTGGGCTGTCATGGGAATTGCATGGGATCTTGAAGCAGCGTTTTCCTGGAGGCTGGTGGGAAGAGGAGACATGAAAATTAGAAGGAGAAAATGAAACTGGGTTTATTTTTGCAGTGACCTCTAATTGTTTATGTAAAATTACTRTAGTTATGTGTCCAGCTTTACAAGCGAAGGATTCCCAAGATTCCTGATCCTTTCTGTTTTCCTTATTAAATCTTAAGTTTATTTAATCCACTTTGTAAGATACACAGGATGTACTGTTTGGCCAAGTTAATGTTTAAGTAGAAATTTTAACTTACGGAATTTCCTGACTATAAAGTGCTTAATTTTTCTGCTTTTTATTATTGCTTGGGGTTTTTCCTGCGCATTGCCTCAGCCAGCATGCTCTCCCCAAACGTGCTCAGCAGAGACTCTTCTCACATCTGCCTTACTGGAAAAACTTAGCAGCATGAAAGCAGTGTGTGGGTGAAGAGTTCATTTTCCCCATTGTTTGCAGGTGGCGATGAGGAGTACATTTATATGAACAAGGTGACAGTCCATAAACAGCAGGGCGACCAAGAGAAACAAGACCAAGGTAGGGAGCTGGAGATTAATGGGTTCATCRTGTCTTAACGGGGTGAGGAAGGCACACAAGGTCACAGCCTTGCTCTGGCAGCTCTGAGGGCTGAAGCAGCTGCTGGTGTGGAAGCACTGCCATTTTCATAACATCCCCTTGGAAATAGCAGTCCTCGCCAGCGTTGTGAGGTTATTCCTGGAAGTAGCACTTTGGAGGTCGTTATTTTGGGATAAAAACGTTGCCTTCTAAGGCTTGAAGCTCCAGAGCCTGAAATATTTAAGGAAGCCTTCATGCTTTCTTTGGCCACAAAACCAGTCACTTTGCATCTTTGAGACCTTGAAAGTGTATTTTTTGTTTGCTGTGTTGCTCTGCTCTGGCCCAGAGGGTCTGAGTTGTCACAGCCTCAGCCCTCTGCACAGGCTGAGCACCTTCATCTCCCAGGGATATGAGAGTTCTGCAGGGCAAAAGCCAAGAAATTAAACCTAGCTAAAATATTCRTTTCCAATTTAGATTTCCCAGGTTTTGAATTTGTAACACGGCGAAGAACAAAATTGTCTAAAAATGTTCTTCCTCTTTGAAGTTCGCCATGAAAGCGGTTCCTGATAATTGCGTGGAGAGTGTTAGTGACACACATTTCTTCAATGCACACWTAGTCAGGGGCTGATCTGACCATGAATTTCTGGTCCAAAGGGATGAGACAAAAACTCATCAGTGCARCCTGCTGCTGATGTGCTGGTCCTGCAGTAGCTGGGATTGCTCCACTTCCACAGCTGTTTTGGTTTTGTTGCTTTGTGGTGGGCTTTTTTTTTTTTTGTTTAGTTGGGTGGTTTGATTTGTTCTTTAAACTACCTGCAGCCAAACTTGGGCTAACTTCAAATGGCCCTGAAGACAGGATGTCCTCCCAGATTACAYGTGCAGCCCCAGGGTGACCTCCAGACAGGGCCCTCTGGGTGATGCTGTAATGCTCTATAATAGGATCACACAGCCTCCCAGCAGCTGGGCAGCAGCAGAARCATCTCTTTGTAGAAGTTCTCATTTGGGTGGGTAAAGCACAGCTTGCACTGAGCCACCATGCTCAAACACAGGGAAAATTTCAGACTATTTATTTTTAGAGGTGGTTCTTTTATTTCAGACTTCTCCCTATCAGGGCCGTGACCTGCCCACTCAGTCACTCCCTGYGGGACCTGGCACTTCTCTCTTTCTGTTTTCAACAACTTTCCTATTCCAAGTAAAACTTCTGAGTTATTTGGAAATGCTGAAGTGAGTGAGATGTGTGGGATCTTAGGCACAGCTGCAGCTGGGTATAGAGCCCTGATCCTGCCTGTGTAACTGGATGGAGAGGTGCCTGCAGGTTCAGGTGCAGCAGATGGAAGGGGCCCCAGTGTCCACCATTGGGATACCAATCTTCCAGTGATTATGCAGCAARTTTTATCCCTTTTATCTGCTGCAATTCCATGCCTGCAATGGGATGTGGGGACCACACTTYTGTGGCTGAGGCTGACAGATCCTCTCGTGCCCTGCAGAGTTTCTTCCCCACAGCAGCTGTGCTCAAGCGTGTTCCAGCACCACAGAATGAAATGCTTTCCAAACTCAGAGTACATCAGCTCCAAAAACCCCCTCCCCAAACTTTAAAATATGCCATTTCAGCATAAAAATACATTTCCCTGCTCCTTGTATCTTCCTGCAATTTCATTGGTGAGTGTTTAGGCTGAACAGAACATTGCTGTTGAGAGGCTTCTTTGTGGCACAGTAATTGAATTCCCTGCAGTGGGTGATGAAAGCACCATCATTTACTGGCTCTCATTTACTTGAAAACACAGCAAGTCTCTACCCTGCAAGCCCACAGGRCTCTTCAGTGAGCCAAATCCATCTYCTTCTGAATTCAGCACAAAGGGGCAGCAGTCTGGGAGGTGGGACTGGTGTGAAGGGCTCCTGGGGTGGAYGTTGTGATTCTCTAAGCCCAAATACCAGGTGACATTCACTTTTACAAAGAACAGAGAAGTAACAGTTAGTAGAAATGTGAGTTTCAGCAGGATTTGGGGTATTTTTTCTTTTTCCTTCCCTCTTCTAAATCCTCTTCAAACTCCAGGTTTTAGAGAGACATGTTTCTCAGACAACACCTGCAAAATGTTAATGCTTGTCTAGGGAGAGCTATTCCTTCCCTCCCACCCCAGTGAGGGAACAGTCTGTGATTTGTGATGCTGGACAAGGAYGGGGCATGTCTGTCATTGTGCTATCTCAGAGGTCATGGGATTTGGGCCACTGTTTGAGGCCACCCAGGAGTTCTTTGGTGGGAGAGGGGGAGCTGAACACAGATTTTCTGAGCCTTCGGTGTACCCTCCGGATACTGAATCACTGTGCTTTCAGCTGCTTGGAAGATCTGACTTKCCAGAGGCAGACACAGATGGCCTGGAGCAGTTCTGCTGCCATGTGCCCATCCATGGGTTTGGCCTGAGCAGTGGTCACATTGCTGATCGTGGCTGGCTCTGATAAGCCACTGTGCAGGCAGMCACCTTTGCAGTTTGCCCTGAGAGCAGGCTGCTGTTAGATCCAGTTTTTGGGAAAGGCAGCAGAGGAGCGGACAGTCACCCACCTGTCTGCTCRTGGCAGCAGGGACCAGAGCTACAAGGACTGAAGAGACATGGATCTCCAACTACTGTGTACTGTGTGCCCCTGCTGCTTCTCAAGACCCTTTAAAGGCTCAGCAGTGGGTCTGGCCTTCACAGTTTTCCCTCCAGAAGGAAAAACATGCCMTAAAACCAGAGGCCAGCTCTTTTGCTGGGTCTCTCCTGGTGCCACATTCCTGGCTATGGCCTGAAATGACATGATAGCCCTGCAACTGTCCCTCTGCTTCCCACTGAAATAGCAGCTTGCTGCTCCAGCACAGCCCAGGGTAGCAAGTGCTCCACTGGAAAATGCCACACGTCATCCATAAAATTGTTTCTGCCTTGCAGCGCTGGATCGGAAAAGCTCCTTGACCAATGGAGATTCAGGACTGCAYCTGTCACCTCCTCAGAAGAGCCTGCCAGACCTCCCTCCTCCAAAGGTAAGTGTGTCTCACCCTTTGCTTCTCACTGCTCCAGCCTGGAGATCTGAACCCCTTGAGGCTTCACTTTTGTAACATCCTGTGGATGAGTGGAAAGACCTCTGCCCATATGTGTTAGTGGGGCAAAGAGTCCCAGTGAGCTTTATTTGAAAAGTAATAACAAAACATTGAACTAGGGCTTTCCAGCTGTGTGTTTCATCTTTATGAACACTGCAGGTCAGTGTGTGGCTGGTGTAGGTGTTGCAGCTGGATGGTGGCCTGGGCACCCAGAAACCCCTGTGGTTCCCCAAGTTTGTGCTCAGATAGAGCAGGCAGCTGTGGAAGCTTCCCATGAATGTGCAGGATTTTGGGCTGTGCTCCCGGCCAGGGAGAACCACACCCACTGCATGGCACTCCGGGCTCAAGGAAGGAGAAGTGAGGGTTTCAAAGAAACAGAGGTGGTGATGGATCTCAGCTGCTGCTTTGGAAATMTCTCCTGAGTTATAAATCAGCCGTGCCTGGGCTGCTGACATCTTAGAAAAAACAGAAATCCTTCAGCTGCAGAGTGGTGGGGTGGTCCCTGGGCAGTACCAGGACCTGTCTTGCTGGCAGAGCCTTTCTCAGTTTGGCCTTTAGCAGAGGTTTGCTCACAGCTGGAGCACCCAGTGTTGTTTGTGACTTGGTTCTGGTGTTGTTGTGGCTGTGCAGGCACAGCTCTGTGGGGAGGAGTTGCTGGCACTGTAGATTTTTCTGTGGGGCAGCTGTGAGTCAGTTAAACACTGTCAGCTCTCAGTGGGACAACATGTCAACAGACATGTTGTCTGTGTTCCAGCTGTCCTAGACACAGGTCATCCTCGAGACACGGGTCATCCTCGAGACCCTGGATGTTKCTGTTCAGCAGTTGATGCAATGTGGGAATTGCTGTTAGCTGGGATTTCAGGATGGGAAAGGAAAGGAGGGCAGGGAGCAGGCATGGGGAGGGGGAGGAGGCATGGAGGAGGATGGGGTGGTGCATCCATCAACCACAAAGGAGGATTTGTTCCTTTCCCAGGAAGGAGGATGCAGTGTGAGGCCCCAGGACTTTTGCCCGGGGCTCTGTGCAGCTCAGCTGGAGGAGCTGGGAAACAAGGGGTAGGGTGGGATGCAGCTGACAAACGCTCAGATGCAGCATGATGCCTGCTGGGAGCTGCTCCAGCCCAGAGGGCTCTGCCCACGCAGATGGCTGGAGCTGGAGTGCCTGGGAGCCGTGGCCAGAGCTGGAATCCCTCTTTAGCTCTGGGCAGGAGGTGGAATGCAGGCACGGCTGGGAAGCAGCAGCCAGGTGTCCCCAAGGCATTTCTCTTGTGCTTGGTGCAGCCCAGCTCTCTGACTGGGCAATCAGGAAGTTAAATGAGGGAATTTGAAAAGAATAGACTTGGATTTTAGCTGAGAAGGGCACCTGCCTTCTCCCAGACCTGTGCTGGGAATTGCCTTCTCCCACCTGCTTACCACTGGAGCTAAGCACCGTTGGATGCTGGGGTCAAGAACCTCCTCACTCTGAGAATCTGGGTGACAGTGAGCTTTGGCAGAAAAGATACCTCAGTGTCCTTCAAGGAGCAGGATGGGGAGAGTTTTGATGGATGGAAATTATGGGGAAATGGATCTGCCCTGTCTGTGTTTGCAGCTCCCAGAGCAGGTGGGAGCCACAGSCACCTGGGCACTGGAGGAGGGAGCTCCTTACACAGAAACACAGGTCCGGAGAGGAATTCAGATTAGGTCTCTTTGTGCTCTGCAGAGTTTCCTGTGCTTTGGTGACACTCAGGCCCATTGTGGTGTAGCTCTTCACTTGCCTTTTGAGGCACAGGAGAAATCTGTAATGGAACAGGCAAATGTCCTGCAAGGGTTAATAACACAATATATAYCCTTTGAGCTAGAGAGTAAACCACTCCACACCCCTAGGGAAAGAGGAGACAAAACAAAAACCTTTGGGGGCAGCCAAGGTGCAAGCCCACCTAGACCCTGTTGGCTCTCATTGTCTGTAGRAAACAAAACAGAACAGTCCCTTCCCTGACATTGTGGGATTCTGTCAAATAAACCCAGAGCATTTCTTTGTGCAGGCAATTTGTTTATGGCCACAGCACAAAGTGAGCTGGCTACAYGCAGGAGGCCACCACAGATGGCAATTACAGACACATTTCCTAGCCAGGGAAGGGATTAAGTAAAGCCTTGGAGTGACTGGTTTGTTTTKGTTTCTTCAATGTAACACATTAGGACAAGTAGTTCCTAAACCTTTTAAGTGTTTGGAGTTTCCAGCAGTGTTCTACGTGGCTCTGGAAAGAAAGTTCAGTGTGCTCAGAGCATCTGGCAGACCCATGTAAGAAGGAGTTTTAACCCTGGAGAAGTCTGGGAGGTTGGCAGAGCCGTGGGCAGCTCACCCATGGTGTGGTCAGGGCTCCTCRCTCCCCCAGGCTCAGCAGCTTCCCTTTGTGGGCAGCTGCTGGCCAGGAAATCTCTTCCTTCAAGGCTTCCTTTCTGCTTCTGGGCACCAGTAGCTGCTGGTGGAAGCATCCAGGGCAGGATGGGCAGCTTTGCACCTGTGTTTGGTGGCATTGGTGTGGCCTGCAGATGGGCTGAGCTTGGCTTAGACTGCTCTGCAGTGCTGATGCACAGCTGGCCCTTCTTCTGCAAGCCCCCAGGAGCAATCTTGGCTGGCACCATGATTTGTGACCTTCAGGATTGCTGTCTCTGCAGACAGACCTGCATTTGTGCCCCTTCTCCTGGGGGAGTGGGGCTTTAACCCTGAGCATTCTGTCAGCACAGCCTCAGCTGGGTCGGCTGGAGCACTGTAGGACACAACACCCTGTTATCACATACCTGGGGCTGGTTTGACCTCGGTGAGGAGCAGGGACACCTCACTGGGGGACAGGGAGTGCTGCTGCCACGTCAGGATGGRAGATGGGATGCCAGGTATTTGGGAGGAGCACAAACTCTGTGCTTATCCTGCTGATCTCCAGCTCTGCTGTCTCATGTCTGACAGATATGTGAATCACCTGAAAAGTTTTGTTTTGTTTCTTAACTTCACTTTATTTTTTTTTCCTCATGTATTGGTATTTCTAAAGGATCAAGGCATGTTTTTCCTGCCAGCCCTTGCTTGTGTTTAGGGAGGGGTTTGGCAGGCACCACAGGGATTTTCCAGCACTTGGACTCTTTTCAAAGGCTTATTTTCCATTGGTGTTGTTTATCCATTTCCTCCATTTTTTTGTTAAGAGCACAATTAAAGATTCCCAATATAGTTCCTAAAGCAGAGATTTTTAGCTGTTGGTTTCAATCAGCCAGAGACTTGGAGAGGAGAAACTTCTAGTGTAAAGGCAGGGTTGCACCCTTTTTCCTCCTTTGTGGTTCCCTGATAAGATAATCCACAGCACAGGGGACCATCCCCAGGCACAATGGGCAGCTAAGGGGGGTGAGTGCAGCAGGCAGAAATCTCAGTTCAGGGTAAGGCCAGTGGGCTGAATTGCTGCTGTGGGTTGATCTTCCCAGGGCTTCCAGCAACATGAAAGTAACATTTATTATGCAATTATACAGGAATTTCAATTTATATTTGAGCTAACTGTACCACATCTARAAGATCTCATCCACTGGGATGCAYTTGAGTGCTAAARAAAAGGAAAAAAATKATGCCCCACCATTTTAAAGGATCTRTTTTTACCTTAAATCATGCTTCTTTTATGTGCTTTTTCTGCAGATTCCCGAAACAAAACAACCTGCAGTCCCCAAGATYGAATCCCCAGAGGGATATTATGAAGAGGCTGAGCCCTATGATGTCTCTGTAAATGGTATATCCAAGCTAACCCTTGGGAGGGGGCACATGGGGGAGATGGAGGACTTGAGATTTATAAAAATGAGTCAACGAACACACAGACATTTCTTAAAGCTTGTGTGACAAATTTGTTTTCTGCTGCTCATCTCACTTGATATTACAGACCTAATGCTAGCTGGAAAGCAAGAGCTACTCAATTACTCAAATTTTTAACTTCCCTGGAGGAGTAAGCAATATGCTTGGTCAATGTAACATCACTGTAAAATGTTACAAACCATTGGGGGTTCTCTTTGTCCTGGTAGTTTTCTGTCAGGCAGGCTGCACTCAAACACAAGTTTCTATTCAGGACGGAGTGGTGAAGCTGTGGTGGCTTGCATTCATGTCCTAGTGCTCTAATTGTCCCCTTGAGGCTCAAAATCCATGGCTGTGCTGGTCTGTTAGGAGTGATAACYGTTTTTATAATTGGCTCTTTATTCAGCTCTGTCTCTCGTGGCAGTTTAACCATCTGTGAACTTGATTAGAAAGCCACACTTGGTGTGAGGGGACAGCGTGTGGGTTCCCTCACACACACTCACCGCCTGGGACAGCACCTCAGCCACATCCTCCAGCAGTGCCACCCATTCCTGTCACCTGTGGGTCCCCACCCCTCTGGGAGGAGGCTGCTGCACGCTGCTGAGCTCCCACATATCATTTTTTAAGGTGTTCTCCTGCCTCCTTCTGTCACTGAATACCCATCAGTGAGAGATTGCCTCTCTCTGATCTGATAGCAGAGCTGATCTTGTCATCRCCTCGTAATCCCTTTAAGCCCATGAGATAGATTATATCACCCTGCTGCAGAGCAGATCAGCCTTGGCTGCAGCACTGTGTGTGGCGTGGGCAGAACTGAGCGGGGAGAGTGGAGACAAGCAAAGAAATGAGGTTTAAGGGTAAAAGATTTGGATCTAAACCCTTGGCTGTTGAATCTGAGCTTCATCTGAGAGGAGCTGGGTCCTCTCCATCCCCACTGTGTGCTACTGGGCTTTGAAGCTCCCTGTCAGAAAACAGGAGGATCATGCCCAGCTCAGGTGGGAGGAKGTGCAGGCTCATCATGTGCAGGGTGAAAGGTGCTGTTTGGTGCAGAGSAGAGGCCCCTCCAGCTCTGTGTTTTGCTGAAAGGCCCTGGGTAATTTGGCTGAGGTGAGGGCTGTGATGCCTGTGAAGCTGGATCAGTTCAGGGTGCTGCAGTCTCATCCCCAAGGCAGGGGGTTCCAATTGCCTGCACTGTGAGATAAAGGAGATTATTTCTCCCCTCTGATGCACAGTGGGAAAGTGGATAACATGTTCAGAGTCATGGCACAGAAAGACATGTAGAGGATCAGCTGGAGTAGAGCCAGGGATCCGTGTGCTGGGACACAGCTGGTGTTACCCCGGCAGCTCCAGGTACTGCCCTCAGTGCAGTCAGAGACTCTGTCAGGAGTGAGATGTGCACACCCAGCTCCCACCTCTGCTTTTCCTTGGTAACCTGCTGCTCAGAGATGCAAAAACAYCCAGCCACCCACYGAAATGTAGGCCGGTCAGATGCCTSAGGAAATGAGAGATCAGAGCTCTGCAAAAAGAGAGAAAAGTAATGGGAGCACTGTGAGAATGCTGCGGCAGCTCTGGGTGGCTCCGTGGCTGCTGTGAGCAGCTGTTGCACCAGCAGGTGTTTTACTGTCACAGCTGTGAGTGCAGACTGYTGAAGCCAGCAGAGATGGGACAGAGGATTCCAGTGATTCCTCACCCATGACGTGTGTGGTGTCTTTACATCCTGTGCCTGCTCAGCCACTGGTCCCCTTTGCAGACCCCAGCACAGCCCTTCTACACAAACCTGGTGTGCTACAAAGTATGTTTTGTATGAAAAGGGAGGCAGCATCGTGAGAATCTCGGTGCTTTTTGGCAACCTCACATTGGAGCTGGTTCCTTGTGGGAGAGATGTGGAGCAGCAGGTTTTGGCAGGAGGAGGCTGCAGGGGCTCAGGAGAAGGAGAAGTGGGGTGTTCTGTGCAGATGGGAGGCTGGGCAGTGATGCTGGTGCCCTGGATCGTCTCAGGAGATCAGGCTGCAGCATGTGGGCAAAACTAGAGGTGAGGCACAGAGCTCCCCATCCCTTCCCCTGCCCCACCCCGTGCCATGTCAGATATCTGTAGTGCCCTGTACCTGCCCCACACAGAGTGATGCTCACTGCTGGCAAATGATTTGGGACCTTGGTGTGACCATGGAAGGGCAGACATGCAGGGCTTTGCCCTGGCAAAGATGCTGAAGCCTGAGGTCAGTAACTCCCCAAGGCCTCTGTGCCCATCCCCTTTCCCCACAAGCTGCATAGGGAGGAGGATGGCAGCCCAGGGAGCTGCTGATGGTGCTTCATAGAATGGCCTGGCTTGGAAGGGACTAAAAACCATCCCATTCCAACCCCCCTGCCAGCTATAGGAACACCTTTCACTAGACCAGGTCACTCAGAGAYCCAGCCAGCCCTTGCCTTGAGCACTTCCAGGATAGCCATCCACAGCTTCTCTGGTCAACGGGTGCCAGTTCCTCATTATGGTAACCATTTTTTTCCTAAAATCTAATCAAAACCTACTCTATTTCAGTTTGAATCCATTCCCCCTTGTGCAATTCTGTTTGTGATAGTGTTAGAGCAGGAGCTTTGGAAGACACCCATGTGTCCCCAAACAAATGGGCGTAGTGAAATCAGACAAAAATAGGARCACCACTAAAATAAGTGGGTGCAGTGCCAAGAAAGGACATCAAAGCAAGCCTCCAGATGGGCTGAGGAGATAGAGGTTTTGTGCAGCATCAGAGGTGGGACTGTGAGGCGCTGTAGCAAACCGTGGGTGAATTAATTAAAACAGAGCAGGCGGGCGAGTCCGCCGGGTCTCGGGGTCTGTCTTTCATCAGCAGCATTCCTGCCCCTCCATTGGGGATCCTCTGCCTTTCATTTTCCAGCTCCAGAAAAGGCTGCTGCTTCCCTGCCCTCCTGGGCTGAAATGTGTTAAACCCTTATCAGCAGCCTTTGCATAATTGGAGAGTGCGATAAGGAGTGGAGTAAAAACTCGAGAGGGGCAGACGTGGCTGCCAACTGAGCAATAATTATTCAGGCTGAAACAGCTCATCTGCCCTGGCTGCTTTTAATTATGATGAGAATGGTTCTGTTTTAAAAGGAATTGCCTTGTTTGAGGGGATGGGTTGACAATGCTGTCCCTGATTGAATTCTCAGCCCACCTAGAGCGTGCAGGGATGGGACAGCCTCATGGGCCGAGGGGATTGTCACCCTTGTTCTCTGYATTTGCTTATCTGTGGCTTTCTCTCTTTGTCTCCCTCTCTCTCTGACTGTGCAGGTCTTTTTGGTAGGCTTGCTGCGGCTGGACCCAGGCCAGGGTTGCAGGTTACTGAGGGCGTTATTTATGCCACAATAACAATGGGTATGGCATGCTTTCCAAACCTGAAGTGCCTTTTTTTAACAACAACAAAAAAAAAAGACACAAAAAACCCCCCAGCAACTCAGTTTTAGCAAAGATTGTCACGTACCTCCGCCTGGGTTTGTTACATGCATGGAGGGTAATCACCTCTCCCTGTCTGTTATGCTCAAAACATTGTTTTTTGTGGCTTTCCCTGTGCTCAGGACAATGAGAACTTCCCTAGGCTTTATTCCCCTGGTTCTATCACTGGTGCGGAGCTGATACGTGGTAATGCTGGCTGTATTGACAAACTTGGTCAATGGTTGGTGAATGGTTGAAGGTGCTCCACTGGGGCAAAGGCAGATTTGGGAGTGTGAGATGGTTGGAGCTTCCTGCATGATGGCATTGATTTAGCTCCCTGGGAGGTCATGGGAAGACCCACTGGAAAGCAGAGATGGATTTAGATAAAGACACCCAAGGTCACGGTCACCAATGCCTGAGCTGTGTGACTTGGGACCGAGTGAGCCTTGTAGTGACAACCACAGGGTTGTCACAAGCCACCAGGCAAGGCTTGTCCCAGTTTGCCAGCTGCACAGCCTGGTAAACACCTTTCCTTCATGAGGCTGTCACAGTGTCACCAGGCCAGCAGTGGCTGCAGCTCTTCAAGCTGCAGGGAAGAGCTCATCTCATGAGGAACCACGTATGTGGTTGTGGTGGGTGCACAGCAGAGCATCCAGGGCTTCTCAGGACAGTGTCAGCCTGAGACCTGATGCTGAGACAGGGACCAGAGACTCCAAAAAGGGCCAGAGGGGTGGTTAGTGATGGCTCCATGTGGGTAAGGAGAGAGATTTGGAAGATGAGGTTCCCTTGTGCATCCTTGCTGCTGCATATGGAAAAGCCCCTTAGCAGTGCAGAGGTTCAGCTTCTTGCTCTTTGTAGGGTTGAGAAACCTCAGCACTTTCATCCATACGAATTTCTGYACTGGGTTCCTGTGGACAAGGCCTGCATAGTGAGAATGCATTGAGGTGAAGTTTTCCCATAAAAGATGGACAGTTTGATATGTTGAGAGTATGGAGAAGTGAGCCAGTCGTGTGCCCTGTTCAGAGACTCTGAAACACAGTATTTGCTTTTTAAAAAGTTTGTTTAATTAGTGCAGTTTTGACACTTGAAGGTTATAGAGTGAGATATCATTGGGGGTAATGAAAACGCCCTAATTTTAGCTAATGAAAGACTGATATGGATGTAGCTTTGTTACTGCATCTCAGTTCCTTTTATTTAAAGAACAAATAAACCCAACTGAAATGTTCTCCAGTGACGCTCCTAATGGCTTTTTCTTTCTCTTTTCTGACTGCTTTTCCTCTTTTAATTTGCAYCAATCTGATAATGTTACTTTTATGTAGATATTATGATTTGGTGAGAATTGAAATTAGATTGAATTCCAGTGAGAGAAGCTTATCAATATTCCTCCATGCTGTCTGGTAGGACAATAATGAAAACCCTATGCAGATGCTGCCCAAATCTTACCATCCTGCTCTGTGAGCTTGTCTTGTCACTTAGAGCTGTAAACGCCAGCAGAGCATTGCAAATCTCCCTGCAGTCAAGGGGAGCATTTTCAGTGTTTCTGATGAGCCTGGTAACAAAGATCAGCTGAAAACTCCAATAATCTGCAATGCATTAGAGCTGAGTATTGAAAATTCCAACTCATCCTGGTAACATAGCAATCCATTCAAGAATGGACATAAAAAACGTTACTGCTCCTCACATTACTTCAAAGCCCCTTGCTGTCCCTTTAGATGCTGAGTACAGAGAGAGGGACCTGTTAGACAGGAGAGGGAAAGTGAATGACATCTCAAATACAATAGATCATTGCTTGCTGCATGGCCTTGCAAATRTGATTTTCACCTCTGACCTTCAGAGGACGAGGGCTGTTTGTAGCTTGCTGTTGCTTTAAAAAATTGTGTGTGTTTGGCTTGAAGTGGAAAGTGGAAAAAGCATCTTTGGGGGGAAAGCAGCGAAAATCAGGAAATGTGTAGGGGAATGTTCTCAAATTTGTGGTCAGCTGAGAAGTGTCTTTTGAGTGTTTGCTAACAGAAGCTATTAGGCAAAAAGAAATATTGCACTGAGATTCATATTGGGCTAGAAAGAAAAAGGGATCTATGAGGATAATTTTCCTATTAATTATCTTCCTCTAGGAGAGCCTCAAAAGACACATCCCTGCCCTGGAAGCTTGTGCATGTGTGAGCATGGCTGAGGCAAGCGTTTGGCTCAGAGTTACCCTAAAAATGGATTTAATGATAGAGCTTTGCTTTTTTATAGAAGATGGTGAAGCTGTTAGTAGTTCCTATGAATCCTACGATGAGGAAGAGAGCAGCAAAGGCAAGTCAGCAACCCATCAGTGGCCATCCCCAGAGGCCACCATCGAGCTGATGAAGGACGCCCGCATCTGTGCCTTCCTGTGGAGAAAGAAGTGGCTGGGACAGTGGGCAAAACAGCTGTGTGTTATCAAGGACACCAGGCTGCTGGTGGGTAGATTTCTACTCTGTGTCTAAAGCAATCTGTTTTCATGAGCTGGGCAAGGAAGAGGCACCTCAGGCCACGTTAATGAGCTGGCAAAAACAAAGTGCCCTTAGAAGCAATGCTACAAAAACCATGTCCTGGACATTTGGGGATCATATTCCATTCTCAGAAGGAACTTGGGCATGAGACTGCTGAAGGGGACATGAGGGCACATTTATGGCCAAAATCRCAATCCCCAAAATTTCTAGGCACACTTTTGGGGGTGGTTAAGCAGAGGGGATGCCTATCCCAGAGACTAACCACATACTTGATCCTCTATCAGTAAAAGGTGTTTTAGATTATATATGCATGTACATAGATGTGTGTGTCTGCACATACAGAGATGTCCTGTGTGGAGTTTGTGCAGACTTTTTAGGACACTTTAGGACAGCTTTTAGGGCCTTCCTGTTCAGTGTACATAATGCATGTGTCTGCACTGAGTCACTTATGGGGTTGAGTTTGTACCAGTGAGCAGGAAGGTTTCTCCTCTGCCTCTCACCTGCTCCCATCTTCCTTCCCCAGTGCTACAAGAGCTCCAAAGACCACAACCCTCAGCTTGACGTGAATTTGCTGGGCTGCACTGTCATTCACAAGGAAAAACAAGTGAGGAAGAAGGAGCACAAGCTGAAGATCATCCCCACAAATGCTGATGTCATCGTGCTGGGGCTGCAGAGTAAAGACCAGGCAGAGCAGTGGCTCAGGGTCAGTGACACCTTCCWGACTTGTCCCATTGGTGCTCCCATGCTTTTCTGGGAGCCCAGACCTTATCTCAGCCCTGTCCTTGCATGCTCTGGCTCCCTTCCTCACTGCAGCCTTTWTACAAATATACCACTTCATTTTCATGTTGTGGGATGGATTGTTCCTGCAGCTCCCTGCTGCCTTCAGTGTGCTGGGGGTCACGTAGGGCCCTCCCAGCCCAGCTGCTGTGGCAGGGGAGGATGTCTGGGGTGTGTGCCCAGCACGAATTGGCTGAGGGCAGGGGTAAATGTGCCCTTTCCCTGAGACAGCAGCAGAAGCTTTCTGGAGCCAAGGAGGGCAGCAGGGCTGTGAGACACCAGGGCTGCCTTTGCTGGCAGCGTCTCCCAGCTGACTTGGATCCAGCAATTTCTGCTGGATGCCTGAAGCAACACCAGGACAGTCCCMGTGGGTCTGCCAGGCTGCTGTGGTTTTGCCTGTCCTGGGTAGGGGAKGAGAATTGATCCTGTTACTGCAGCTCTCTCACAGGCTGTGGCTTCCCCTTCTGCACAGGTAATCCAGGAGACCAGTGGTCTGCTCTGTGAAGGGGGCAGTGAAGGCAACCAGTACATCCCAGACTCGCAGCGTCTCACTTACCCAAAGGTACCTCTTGTCTCTACAGACAGAATAGCACTTAGGCTTTTCAACTCTATTCCTTTAATAGTGTAAACGCCCTAATTTTAGCTAATGAAAGACTGATATGGGTGTAACCAGACCCCTGTACTGCTGAAAAGGAGCATTCTTGGCACCATCTTCATTTTCCTTTGCAATTCTAATTTTGTTGCCATATCTTCCCTCCCAGACTGACTCAGCATTTGGCTCCCCACTATCTAGGCCAGCAGCTGCTGTCTCATCCAATGGGATGGTTAAATTCACCAGGAACTCTGGGAGGGACACAGATCCTTGGACACCAGAGTTTGGGCCATCTCTAGTCCAGATGTAGGTGACACTCCCCTGGGAGCAGCTTGTTCCAAAACAGTGGGAAGAGAAGGAAACTTTCCTAAGTGTCTGTGTGGGCACCCAGAATGGACTGTTTGTGCAGCTGGACAGTTCCTTTGGCCATGTCCCTCTGCAGGGACTGTCAAATGCTTCCAATAGCCAGGCTGCAAGGCAGGAGGCCATGGGGTGGCACCAGTGGTGCCCTTGTCTCCTCAGAGGTGAGCCCAGCTGGGGTGGGGCATGTTCAGAACAATGGGAAGGGCACAGGGTGTGAGCAGGGGATGTCTGGGTGAAAGCATCCCTTACAGAGAGGGTGGGACCTCATAGGAGAGGGGGCGAAAGGTCCTTGCAGAAGGTTCTGGCTGGAAGAACAGCTCACATGCATCTGTGGAGCTCATGCCTGGTGCTTGTTGACAGGTGGAGGTGCCCGASAGATACTCTGCAGCCTCGGAGAGCGGGAGCAGCACCGACGGCCACCCGGAGACTGCAGAGACAAAAGATGGTAAAACTTAACCCGGGAATGATGGGGAAAACAGCCCCTGGACCCTGCATGAGGCCAGGGTTCCTGTAGCTTCTGTGCCACCTCAGACAGACCTGATGAAAGCTGCGTGYGCATTCACTGCCTGGGAATTTGATTTTTGTACCAGGATTATCTGGTGATTGCACAGCTTTACTCACACACCGATGTGCTCAGTAGGAAAATGTTGAAGGGGCTCTTTGGACATAAGCCTTCCCCCTCCCCACCTTGTACCCCTGTTTTAGAGAGGAAAAGACTTGAATACAGTTAACCTTTATGGGAAATGGTTCTTAGTTAAATTCTTTGTAATGTGGGAAAGTGAAGGSAGGTTGGTACCTGCACAGCAAGAGCTGTGCAAACACTGCCCACTGCTCCTGCAGCAACTGGTCAGAGGTAACCCACATGTAAAACCATACAGATTWGCATCTTCCACAAACCCCTAACTGGTGCCGTTCTGCTCATGAACTCCCTGGGCTTTGGATGTYACAGCCTGTCCCTGAGCTGCAGGTTTGCCCTCTGCAAGGGATGTGTGTGACATGGGGGCAGGACCCTCAGCTGGCACAGCAGGCYGGGGGCTGGGACAGCCACGCGTGTCTTTTTCATTTCTGATAGTTAAGAAGAAGGGCACGACTGGCCTGAAACTGAGCAACCTGATGAACCTCGGGAGGAAGAAGTCCAGCTCCATGGATAGCCCGGAGAGATCCCTGGAGACTTCAAGTGAGTGGCAGCATGAATCTCCTCTCCTGTCTCAGGGCTGGATCTCGGTGTGCAGGGCAGGATGAGCACCAGGCATCATCCTCCTCAAACCTGCCTGAGCCAGGTGGTCCTGCCTGTGAATCCATGCAGATTGTGGTGCCTATGGCCTGCAGGGTGAGCCAAGAGGAAGGGTGGCTAATCACAGATATGCACACAGAGGGCATTTGTGCTGCCCAAAGTGTGGGAGTCTGCAGAGAGAGTTGTGAGGGTCAGCTGGCATTCACCATCTGAGACCAACTTTGTCCAACCACTGCAGACAACTTGCTTCTCCAAACCTATCCTGAATTTCAAGGGTCTCATTTTCAAGATTTTTACTCTTTTTTTTTGTATGGATATGAGAGCTTTTCTTTATGCTTTTGTTCTTTATTAGTGCCTGTGGCTTTGTGCTGTGGTGAACTCATAACTTACACATTAGACATCCCCAGGCACACAAATTAATATGGATTAAATGGAAAATGTGTCTAAGGGGGCTGTGCTTGCTTGCAGGTTACCTGAATGTGCTGGTGAACAGCCAGTGGAAGTCACGGTGGTGTCACATAAAAGATGGGCACCTCCATTTCTACCAGGACAAGAACCGAAGCAAACTGGCTCAGCAGCCCCTGAGTTTGGCAGGTTGTGAAATCATCCCAGAGCCAAGCCCHGATCACCTTTACTCCTTCCGCATCCTGCACAACGGGGAAGAACGGGTTGTCCTGGAGGTAGGGTGTACATCTCCAGGAAAGCTCTGCTTAAAGTCATCAGCTTGGGTACTTTAGGAAGTCTAAAAGTGACTGAGCTTTTCCAGAGAAACCCAGAGTCCAACAGAACAGAACCTGAAGAGTAGGACTGGTTCATCTGCCTGTGGTCACCTAGAATGTGTCTCGCCTAGCTGGTAATSCAGGCTGTGCCTGATGCTGGCACCTCCAGAGGACCATTCAGCCTTCTTCTTAGGCACTCACCTTAGGGGGGCATGTGGGGGTCCTCTGGAGATGCCCATCTCTCTCCACTGACTGCAGGATAACCTTGGATAATTAAATTCTGTGGAATTTCAGATGGTTAATGTTAGACGAGAAAAATGTTGCTTTAGGGATTTAAGCCTTTGGTTAGGAGGGACAGAGAATTTAATCTTTTGAAGCAGAGCCCCAAAGCCATAGGTCACACATCCCAAGCAAGTCTATCACAGATCTGCCCCTGAAAGTGCAAGTGGATTCATGTCCATCTGTTACTTTCCTTTGCCTGCATCCAGGACTGTTTATCTCTAATCTTACTTCTCTCTGACGACAGCGTGATTATAGTAGGAGGTGGACAATGTGAGCAATTTCCTGTATTTTTCCAGTGGGTGGAATATTTATAGCTAAACAACTGACTTCGAGGGCATGCAGTGAAATTGGAAGATGTTTTTGTTTAGTTTTTGATTCAGGGTCTGTCTGTATCTGAGAAATTTTGCCCAATTACAGATGTGAAGAAGAGGTGCTGGGAAAATTTACATTTTGTGAATGGAAGAATCTGTATTTTGTTGGGATGTCAGACTTAATGTCAGACTCAATGTACAGACTGGCTGGCTGGCAGGATTCCCAGGCACTGAAGTCTCTGCTAAATAAAACAGACTGAAAGCTTAAAATATACTTTCCAGTTTGGAAAGTGTATATATATTCACTTGCCCTGAATTTTACTTTGTGGTTACTGCTCTGACTCCTCAAATCAGTGCAAAAGGTGGCTGCATTAGCCAGCTTCTTCTTGCTCCAGGCAGAGTCCTGGGCACTGGGAGGTGCATGTGGCTGTTTGCTAGAGCTGACTTCAAGGCACAAATTTAACTCCTCATGTTGCAAAATGTCAGACTGCTCACTGCAGCTGGGAATTGGGTACTGAACACGTTAAAGCAATGGACTCTGATGCTTTAAACTCTTCCCTTCCCTTCTCCCCTCTGCAGAAAGCCCTGGAAGGGGTTTGTGCTCTGGCAGCAGGAACTTGCAGGCTCGGATCTCCTTGCCTCGTTTTTGGCAATCCCATTGCTGCGCTCTGCTGGTGCAAAATAAAACCTGCATGCTTTCCTCACCCAAAGCTGCTCCCTGCCAGCATCTCCAGCCCCAGAGACTTCTCTTGCTCTTGTAGACAGCTGCGTTGATCAGCACTGAAAGGAAACTGCAGACTGATGAGAAATTTTAGGAAGGAGCAGAGCAAAGAGCTGCATTTATATAGCTGCYACATTTTCAAATCAGTCCATACACAGAGCTGTACTTTTAAAGCAGCCTCAGGTTTATCAGAAGTATCCAGTAGTTCATCTCTATCCTTGGAAGCCCAGGGGATTACCAGCATGCTTTCCTAGCTAATCTAAGCCAGCAATAGCCCTGTGAGTGCACAGAAACTGCTGCTGCAACCTGTCCTGTCTGTCTTTTCACCCTGCAGGCAAAGTCCTCGGAGGAGATGGGCCACTGGCTGGGCCTCCTCTTGTCGGAGTCAGGCTCGAAAACAGATCCAGAGGAATTTACCTATGACTATGTGGATGCTGACAGGGTTTCCTGCATTGTGAGCGCTGCGAAGAATTCCTTCTTGTATGTCAGTGGTAATGGGGTGGGGCTGTGTGGGGCTGCAGAGGGAAAGCAAGCCAGAGCAGGGGACTCTGCACTTGTGGGAGGTTGGCTGCTGTGGGAAGAGGTGGTAAATTCACAGCTGCAGCCCAGTCCCTTTTAGGACAGGAGAGCACTTACTGTCCTAGCAGGGTGCACTGGGCCTGAGCTGCAGTTTGCCATGGGGCCTGTGCCTGGRTGGCTCTTGCAAAGGCAGGCTGGGCTCTCAGCCACCCTGAGAGTGGGGCAGGGTGACTGTGCTGCTGTGGCTGAGGGCTGAGTGAGAAAGGAAAGAGCCAAGGGGAAATACAGCTTCTCTCTGGTGGGTGCTGCTTAGTGGGCAACAGCAGCAGTGATACCACTTTGGATGGCTTTGCCTCCTCCTCTCCTGTATCTGGCTGCCTGGCCTTGCCCTGACCTCAGGACTCAGATGCTCAGATGTCCCAAAATGCAGCACTGCAGAGCCATGCAGCGAGTCTGATCCCTCCTGATGAAATGTCCTGCTGCCTGTTCACAGCTTAATGCAGAGGAAATACTCGGAGCCCAACGCCTACATCGACAACCTGCCCAAGGGCAGGGTGCAGCAGGAGGAGCTGTACGATGACGTGGATCTGCCAGACCTGCCTGTGGTAAGACAGACACCCTGCTGCAGGGGGGACACTGTGGCAAACATCTGGCCACGGAGTCTCCAACAGTGAAAGGGAGTGTTTCCCAACAGTGATGAAGGGGATTCCAAGGCCCTGGGAAAATCTTGGCTTTTGTGGTGAAACAGAATCCTGGGCTGGAGAGGAGCTGCTGAGGAATGGGAGAGAGGTTTCCAGAAAGGGGCTGTCAGGATCCTCAGGCAGCTGGGATAAAATGCCCCAGTTTCCATCAGCAAACAGCATGGATTATTTGGTGGTTGCAGGGTTTTTGGAGCCTGGCCTCTCAAAATTCCTTTTTATGCCTGTAAGAGCAAGTCCCGTGCATAAGGACAAGAATGATGGGTCATGCTGAGAGTGGGACTGTTATCTCAGGACAGGCAAAGACTCTGGCAGGGGTTGCTGGGTGTACAGCAGTGTGATATCCTTCCATGGAGCTACTGCTACCATCAGAGAGACCTAGTGAAGGAAAACAGGAGGGGCCTTCCCTTCAGTACATAAAAAACCCCTCTGTGGAATGACTTAGAGACTGGGGTTTTAGTTTCTCTAAGATTTTCAGAAAATTCTCCAGCTTGCCTGAGATAGTGCTGCTCTGCAGTGAGATGTTTCTTGTACTTGTGGTTGCAGCAAATGCTCTTTTGCAGGAAGAAGAACCCAAGAGTGAGAGCAAATTGGAGGGGGACCAAGACAGAGTGTATCTGGACCTCACCCCAGTGAAGTCCTTCCTGCACTGTGCAGGGAAGATGTCATGCCAGTCTTCACCCCTCAGCTCACCACCTTTAGAAAGGGCTGCCAGCAAGGCTGCCCTAGAGAGCACAGCTGAGACAGCCACCATAGCCAAGGAGGCTGAGTCCTGCACTAAGGCAACAGAGACCTCAGAGCAGGTATTGTCCAAACCTGGCCTGGGGTGCCAGGCCAGGCTTAATCAGTGAGCCAGCTCCCTACCCATCATAATCCCGCTTTATTTCCCCTTTGCAGAAGCACCCAGAGAAGCCAGAGCCCGAGGAGGCTGTGCCACAGGTGCCTGCTGTCAAAATGCAGAGCCAGCAGCAGAACATCGCTGTACCCCAGGTGGCCCCTGAGGTTCCAGTGGGCACAGTTCCAGTGGGCACAGTTCCAGCAGGCACAGTTCCAGTGGGCACAGTTCCAGCGGGCACAGTTCCAGCAGGCACAGTTCCAGTGGGCAGTCCCCAGCTGGTGCCTGCACACCGGCCCAAGATGCCACTGCCAGGTGAGTGGACTGCTCCGGTGGCCCAAGGGTGCTAAAAGAGAGGTGGTTTGGTTTGCCTCTGCTCTACAGCAATCTGTGTGCTGAGTCTTGTGGCTGGTGACTTTCCAGACCCTCACTTGTTTTGCTTTCAAGGTTTTCTCCCTCCTGCTTTTTTCCCCTGACTGAGCTTGTTTTGGTGGGCTGTGTTTCCAGCAGCAGCAGTGGAAACCAAGCTGGGCAAGAACAGGACAGAGGCAGAGGTGAAACGGTTCACRGAGGAGAAGGAACGGCTGGAGAAGGAGAAGGATGAAATCCGGGCTCAGCTCACCCAGCTGCGCAAGGAGAGACGGGAGCTGAAGGAAATGCTCGGGGGCAGCACAGGTAGAGCAAGGCGAGGTGGGATGTGTGGAAATGAGCCAAGGTGGACGGTGGGGAAAGAGGGCAGTGAACCTGGCCCTCCTGCACCAGAAGGGATGGGGGGGACTGGTGCTTTGAGCAAACCATGTAGCCTTGAGTGAACTAGAGCAAGAGCCACMGTCTCTCTTGGGGAAAAGTACAAGGACATGCCCTGCTCCCTGCTCCCCTCAGGAGCTCCCCAAGTTCCTGGCAGGCACTAAGATTCCCCTCCCTTCACAGACAAGAGCCTGGAGCAGAGGCTGAAGGAGATAGACGAAGAATGCAAAAGGAAGGAAAACCAGAGGGTGGACCTGGAGCTGAGCTTGGTGGAGGTGAAGGAGAACCTGAAGAAGGCAGAATCTGGCCCGGTGACACTGGGCACGGCRGTGGACACCACACACCTGGAGAATGCAGCCCCACGGGTATGTGGGGCACCCCTGGGAGGCACAGCAGCTCTCTGGCAGCTAGGCAGTCACACTGWGTCAGCCTGCTTAAAAATATCATAATTAATAATAGCATCATTTGTGTAAATGTAATCTGGTATAAATGTTTTTTATATAAAAAACACATAATAATAATCGATTGAGGTAAGTGAAAGGTGGCTGGGRTTCAGGAGATTGGCTGTTTTTTCCTGTGGGGCCTTGAGCAAACACCCTCCAGGGCCATGGAGGTCTGGACTCAGCTCCCCCTGCACTTGGCTRAGCTAAGGGATGGTTTTTGCAGGAGATTCAGGCATCTAAATTCCTTCTTGGGAACTTGTTTCCCATGAAATGGAGATCTTCACCCCCTGGACAATGCTCTGTACCTCTACTTGACTCCTCAAAACCCAAACACACCACAAATTCCTGGTGTCTTTTTGAAATGGGCATGTCACAGAAAACATGCACTTCAGTGTAAATGGGATGAGACTGGGACTAGGAGATGGTGGAAAAAGGCAGCAGTCTCTCTCAGTAGTCTGTGGTCATAACCATTTCTATGATTTTTATTGCAGGTTCAGGCAAAAAGTGCCAGTGCAGCAAACAGCGCAGAGAACTCACCGGTCAATTCAGCAACGGCTTTGAAAAACCGGCCTTTATCTGTTATGGTCACGGRGAAGGGAACAGTGCTACAGAAAGCTAAGGTAAGGTACAGCAGAAAAATCTGTCTGGGACAGCCACTGCTTTTCCCTCCTGGCAGTGGAGTGGGATGGTGGTTTTGGGGGGTTTCCCATCTGGGAACTACCCCTGATCAACACAATTCAGAGCACCTCAGCCTGGTTTTCCTCCAGTCTTTTCACCTGGGTTCACCTTGCCTGCAATTTAAATGAATAAATATACGCATTGTTTATAACTTAGAGATATCCCTGACCCACCCTGCAGCCAAACCCACGCAGAGACCAGACCATCATGTTGATCCTGTGCACATTACAGCTACTGTGGCTTGCCTGATTTGCATTTTGACTAATTTGCCTTTATTCCTTGCCAGGAATGGGAAAAGAAGGGAGCTAGTTAGAAGCACATTGTTCAAAGATGGACTAAAGACTCAAACTGCCCATGCATGGCCCAGGGGATTCAACCATCTGTCGGTGGAGGGTGGGTGTTCAACACCACCACACACCAAGTGCCTCCTCCACGTCGAGCCGACGGCCCAGACAGCACTGGAGTCAACGGCTGCTGACACGAGTTCATCCCAAATGAACTTGCTCTTTCCAGACAAATCCCAATCACGTAGCTAAAACAATAACAACAARTGGCAATCCTTCCATCCAAGTCCTAACCCAGCTGATGTAAACTGTAAGAATGTTACTGTACATAGGGGTGTTTTTGTGTATTTCTACTCTGAAGGTTTATCAATGAGTTATTAAGGTTTCTATATTAGTGACTGTAGTGGATTCAGAAGGGGGCTCTGCTATTCCTCAGCCTGGACAGTTTCAAACAGGCCTGATGATAAATTGGAGTCAACTAAAGTCTCACTTGTCTTGCTGCCCGTCATCACTCAGCTGCATTTCATCCAGCCTTCAGTCAAGGGCTATCCCCACGTGTGAGCAAACTTCAAACATGAATGAGAAGCATACAACAGCCTTTCCAAGGCATTTTTAATCAGTGTCTTCCTGATGCACTCCAGCATTTCCTACCAGCTGCAGATTTGCTAGAATCTTGAGCTGCTTACCTTCCCATGCTGTAAGCTACGTTACAGACTGGCAGCACCAAGAGCTCTGGGCAAGGAAGATCTGCCAARCAGATTCAGTTATTTTCCTGAAGATCTTGGTCTATTTTCACCTGAGGAGTTTGTTCTGAAAAAAAAAAATTAAAAAAAAAGTCATATTTGAGGGCTTGCTCAGCTGTTTTATGGGAAAGCTGGATCCTTCAGGGCTTGCCCTTTCCCAAGAGAGCAGAGGTAAAGCTGTCTCCATGCTCCTACCCCAATTGTGATGGTGACTGTTGCTCACAGAGCTGCAGCTGTTGAATGTGCTGAAGATACCCCTGTGCCCTGTGTCCCTCCACACTGTAGGGCTGAGAAGCCTGCCCTGGCAGTGAGGCTGCGTGACCAGGGCTCTGCTGAGCTGCTGACCATCTTGGTGCTGTCACCCTTATTTCCCAGGCGTTAAACTTAATCCTGCCCTTGGGCCCTGGCAGTTCGGCCCACAAAGCCCTCTGCTCTCTGYCCTAGCCAAGCTTTCTAATGAAAGATTTTGGACAGCTGGAGCTGTAAAACTTAGAGACATTGAAATTAAAAGGGTGGTAGGGGGTTGGCAGAAATCTATGCATCCTTCTCCTCCCTGTACCCTGCTGACATTTCTGATGGCCTGGARTCACCTCTTCCTGTCTCCTCTGATGGCCCTTCAGTGTCAGAGCCCAGGCTTGGGAACTGGGTTGCCTGGATGGGGCTGGAGCTGTTTTCCAACCCCACAACGTTGAAGTAGCACCAGCAGTTCCCTGCATGGGTTGGCCCTGGGGTCCTGTGGCTACACCAGAGCCTGGGTAAAGGCAGACAGGAAAAATGTATTTTCCTCACCCTTGAAAATCTTTGACAGGCTTGGAATTACCTATAAAGAGCTATGCTTTCTTCACACTAAGGCCAAACTGGGGTCACTGGGGTGAGAATGTGCTGACAAGGGGTCCTGGGCTTGCTTGTCCCCACCACAGAGCCAGGGTGCAAAAAAACACTTGGCCAGGGTATCCTGAAAGCAAGAAAGCTGACCTTGCTCCCATTTTTTTTTTTTACTCTGAAGTCTCCACTGTGGTGCAGATAGAGGAATTGCTAATCCCAGGCCTTGGGAGCCTCAGCTGTCAGGTTGTCCTGACATAAGGTTTTGCACATAGGAAAAAYTCATGCAAATAAACCACTGACTCTTCTGGTTCAGGACCCTGGGGACTTCCTTCTCCAAAGCACCAGAAGGCCWCAGACCCCTTTTGTTTTGTTTTGACCCATGATGAGCTGGCAGGAGACCTTCTCTACACCCTAAATATCTGTGTAGTACCATGCCCTCACCTTGCACCCCGCTGTCATCCTCCAGAAGTTGTCCAGACATTTCACAGTGGTACTGAGACAGCGATGGACAAGAGCAGCTCTGCTTTCCCCCTCACAGCCCAGTCAGCTTCACTGCTCCTGCTGGGATGTCACTCCACGAAGGAATGAATGGTAAACACAGTCCTGAACAACACAGTTTCCCCAAACAAGAAATGTTAAACAATGTCYCTGTGTCCCCATTGTTTTCCTAACTCAAGGCATTTCCTTTGTTGTAACTGTGACCTATAAAGTGGCTCTTTAGAGGGTTTTATAATAAAATGTTGAGTATATTGTGTTACCAGTCTTTTTCTCAGYAATGGGGCTTGTCCTGCTCTACTTTCCAATAGATTTCAAGTACCTCAAATCCCCAGCCCTGTTAGTTACTACAAAGTCCTRAGCTATGCAGTCTGCAACTGCAATGGACTGTAGCTTAAATARTAATGACTGCACTGTCAAGTAAAAAAAAAAATTCAGGAAAATAACCCACAGAAAAAAATAGCAGTAACTTCGACAATTGATATGAACATATGTAACAGATTCCTGCCTGTATCTCTGTAGCACACTCTTCTAGCACAGAACCAGCAGTGAAAAACCTTCCACTACCTTCCTCTGGCCACTAGATAGCAATTGTGTGCAGGGTTAGCGTCTGCTGCAGTCTCTGAGGGGAAACCGGGATGGGCTTTAGCTGGAAAGGAAAAAAGTTACTAAAACAGTTGAGAATTTTGCAGAACGCACACCRAAATAGGCAAGTCTGTGAAATACCTCTTGGTGGCTCCATCCCACACAAAGCTTGAGGAAGCACTGTAACTTCAACACAAAAGTTCTAGCGAATGTCCCACTGTCCCTGGCCTCTCCAGCCCACCCCTTGACACAAACCTGCCAATGTGCCCCTTAGTGCCCTGTGAGTKTCTGAGCTCAGGAATCCCAAAGAACAACTTGATTTGTGGGGCTGGTTTTGTGCATTGAATGGACAGCAGCTGCAGTGGCTTTTGTCCTTCCCCAGCATAACTGCCCCATCACCAATGGCTGCTTTAGAACACTTTGGGATCAGCTCCAGCTGATAAATTCCCAGTGTAATTCACCCCTGCATCTCAAGCAGAAGCCTGTATTCTTCTGGAATGAAATTTCCTGCTACAAACCATTTTTCTCAGCAAGTTTCTCACTTAAGAACCTCCCCAGTTCCTGTTTAGGGTACACAGAACAGCCCTACATCAGCTCTTGGGGGTTCCTGACAAAGGTTGCTAGTGGGCAAGTTGATTTTCCACTAAGACATAGGTAAAGTGCCAGATTTTAAAGGGAAAAAACTTTAAACTTCGTATCAGTTGGCCTGAAGGTTTATGTAAGCAGTCTCAGGTAKGAATCAAATTAATTGATTTTTACTGCAGAAAGTAAGATTGCAGGGGTTTTCAAAGCTGAAGAAGCCAGCTGGTTTTACAGGAAGCATCAGCAGACGTCTTGCAGGCTGGCCCTGGTTTTTGGTATGCAGGGGGAATGGCACACTGGGGTCAAATCCCAGCTTTCCTGCTGCAGCCTTTACAGTACAGGCACCATACAACATTTACTTACCACAAACAGGCATGATTTTGCTTGCTGAGGGGTGTAAGACTAAAAGGGGTGAAAACCATGGCACTTAAATCCACTTTTTTTAGAGAAACAGGCTCTCTCCTGAAGTCAGTGGCCCATGACCAGCCAAGGCTCACCCAGCAATCCTACAGAGCAAGAGTAATCCACAGCTCCATTTGTAACAGCAGCCCAGACATYTAATGACAGCCTGGTACAGACAGCATCCTCCACACTCCTCTGATGCCAGACAGGATTAGAGCTGGCTTTGCAGGGACACCACCTCCTCTGTGCCTSTGCCAGCCTCAAATATTGACCCAGCCTTAAGGGAATGAGCTCCCATCAGGAAAAGTCTCATTAAATATTTCTGACTGAMTCAAGGCAAATCTTTTGAGAGTGAATTTAATAAGGGTTCATGTCAGAGACCCAAGTCACTTACCTACTTACTCTTTCCTTAATTAAAATTTGCAAGAGAAAGGGCCTAGAAATTAGCATGGATCTTCAACTCAAATTTTTAACAACAAAACAGCTCCAWAAACTGCTCAGCAGTGTCCTGCTTGCCTGTRGGATCAGCAGGTCTCTCCAAGAMCAMCCCATATATCCTAATTATCAACCTRGCTTTTCCCATCTCCCAATGCCCCATAACCTTACCTTGCAAAGTGCTTTGTCCCATGTAAAAGGAGAGCTGGTGGGTGCTGTTGCTGCCAGAGAATGTCTGAGTATCTATCCAAGGCTTCAGGAATCACCTGCTTTCAGGAGGAATGTCAGGAGGAAGGTCACAGTCACAGCACATGCAGATCCCTGACACGTGGGGATTCCTGGGGCACTCTGGGCACTGAGACCCTGCCAGGTGTACCCAGAGCCCAAAGATGGTTTGGAAACCAGCTTTCCTGGGCTGCTCCAGGAGTTTCCAATTTCCCACATGATCTCTATTTGACAAACTAATGCACAGAGATAGATATATCCTGTCCAGCATTAAAATGTTGTCTCCATCATGAGATTTTGCAGTCTGTGCTTCCTGAATCACAGAGAGATGTTTGCACCTGTGGTGCTTCAAACCAGCAGGATGGTAAAAATGCAGGGTTTTCCCAGCCCAGGACCCAGGCAAGCCTGCTTTGTCGCCAGTACAGCCCACACATGCTGAAAACATAATAGCTTGTGCATTAAAATACAGAACTCATAGATTACACCACATCACATTTGCAACAATGCAAAATGCTCAGCAGCACTCTGCAAACTGTCCTGCAAACAGCACAAGAAAAAGCCTTTAAGCACTTGCAGAAGGCCAGGAAAGCAATCCCAGAGTTGTGTTCCAGAACTGTGTCCCAGACAGTGTAAATACACTGGTGTTCCAGAGGGTAGACTGATCCTGCAGAGCACAAATGCCTGTGAGGAGTGAGCTCATGATGCTGTTATGGAAACCATGGCAGAGAAACGCCCAGGGAGCTGCAAACCTGCCGGGGCATTGGGGGTGAGAAGCGGGGGTCCCTCGGACCCTTCACACAAATGAGAATGCACAAGGAGGATGAACAAAAAGGTCAGGGAGACTTTTGAGAGCAGTCTGWCAGGAATGCAGCCAGCTCCATAGGCATTTCTGCACCATACCAAGAACCACGTCTTTGGTGTGAGTCTGATCAAGCCCATTCTCCCCACACGCAGAGAAGACTGACAGGTTAACAGCAGAGGCAATGCTGAGCTACAGCCATGCCTAAGTAACATTAATAGATTAGTTTCCCTTTGTATCCCAAATGTCAGCCCTTCAACTAAGCCTCTGTTCTGCTGTGCCTCGGAACACAATCTACCAAAGTGACAGTGAAAAGAAAGGAGAATTTCCYCTTTCTCCTAGCCTGGATTCTCCCACAAGGCACGACAGTGCTGCTCCTGTCTCAGTGCCAGCTTTCATCCCTGAGAGTGCTTTCAGACCATTCTTCTTTTGACAACAAACCTGCTGAGCAATTTGTGTCTCTCTTTGTCCATCTAATGTTACTAWTCAAACACGGGGCCAGGACATCTGGGTGAAGAGATTTTTCTTCTTCTGGACACTATTCTCATGAGCACCAGCAGTCGCAGTTAATATCTCTGCCTTGGCCCTGTGCAGACCTGGTTGTGCTCTCCTGAGGTGACAGACACCATGGGAAAGTCAGCAGAGAATAACCCAACACTGGGAACCATGGGCTTTGGGGTAGCAGTTATGTAAATTTTACCACAGGTTTGTGGGCAAATTGATCTAATGATCTAATGATGTAGTGAGGCTGATGCTCTGAAGGATGCAGGCATGTGGCCAAACTGTCTCTGRAGACATGTGAACCATCACAGCCCCAAAAATTCAGAGAAGAAAACAGCATGGACAACCTATGAAACAGAACAGAGGCTTGTAATCAGCTTTCCTTCCTCCTCCTCTGTCTTTCTGCATGTAAGGAGCCATTCACTCCAGCACTTCACTGCAAGTCCATCAATTGTGTTACATCCCCTCAGCAGGAGTTCCAAAATTTCTCAGACTTCTACATATTTTTAGACTAAGTCAACGATCTCTAAAAATCTGTTAAGAAAGAAAAAGACCTGAAAATGTAAAATGCCAGAAATACTTAAACACAAATATTTACTTCAATTACAAAACAAAGAGAGCACTGGGAAGCCCAGTTTGTGCAATGGGCTGGAACTGTGCAGGAACTGGGAATGGCCTCAACACAATTCCTGTGCTGGAGCAGCTCCATCAGTGCCAAGGGCAGTGCCAGATGGTGCCTGTGAGTGGCAGTCAGTGCTCTTGGACAGAGAACTGGAGCACTTGGCACATCTGGGTCAGTGCCTCTGATCCATTTGCCTTTTGCTGTGCCGGAGGGTTCTGGAGAAGTGCTGCAATCCTCTTGGACTCCACTGCACATGGGAATGTGGAGGAAGGACTGGAGATCTTGGAGAATCACCCCGGAGAACTCCTGTTGCAGAAGAGAACACAGATGTGGGATAGGGGCTTTAGGACTAAGGTATAAGGCAATACCCAGTCCACAACAACCAAACAAGCATTCCCTTGGCCTTAGCTGACAGATGTTAGAGGCTGGGCTGGAAGTCAGAATTCCTGGGCTCAGGAAAAAAGCAAAATACTGAGCAAGGGGAAAACCCACTTAAATTGAGAATTTCTTGCTATAGGCACAGGGCCACCTCTAGGGAGCCAGAGATTCACCACCTTCTGTCTAAGAGAAGGAAGGCAGTGGGGAGGCTTTTACATCATGGACAGCATTGAAAGTGACAGGGAGGGGGTTTGCTCCAACAGAAACAGCTCCCTCCCATTAAAAGGGAGTCAAATCTTTCYACCTGGGGAGCCTGGGAAAGGCTGTTTCTTCTAGCAGGGCAGAGKAAAAAGGGGAACAGAACAGAGTGGAAGATTACCAAAGTTATTAGACCTTCTTGGGGTCCCCTCACAGTCAAGTCACTTAGTGAGTGTATAAAACCACACAGTACCTGAGAGAAGCCCTTGCTCCTCTCAGCAGCCCAAACCTCTCCACTTGCCGTAAGACAGACCACATCAGCACCAAGACCTGGCCACCAAACAGCTGTCCAAGAGTTACAGCCACTTCTCTGCTTCAGGAAGAGGTGGAGCTGTGGGATGGGTTCAGAGGGGCTGCTGTCAGCTGATCCTTACTGGTCTCACAGTGGGGTCCCTCCCAGCCGTGGCACTCGCAGCGGTAGCTCCCCGGCCCAAGGATACACACGCCCTGGTTCATGCACGGGTTGGGCTTGCACAGGTTCACGGGGCTTTTTGCTTCTGCAGCAGACACAAGCAGAAAAGCATGCTCAGGCATATGTGGAGTGTTACCAGCTAGGACCCACATCCATCAAGAATGCTGCAAAAAATGTCATAAAGAACTAACGGGACTGGAAAAACACATAAACATGGCAGAGGGTACAAGCTACAACCCTGTCTTGACACTTTAATCTACAGAATACAATGGCTTTGCTAGGTGTTCTCATCTAGAGGAGAATATTCCCAGTAAAGTTTAAAACAGTGACATCATGTTAGGCTGCATACCACAGAAAATCAACATGGACAATACCTTCAGAGCTATGAGCACCCCAAACTCCCCACACCCAGAAATGGACAATGACAAGACACATGCCCTGCTCCAAYAGGCTCACAATCCCAAATGCCACTGAAGCTCAAACCTCACTTTGCCCTGGAGAGGAAGAAAGTATCCAGTAGAGAGAAATAAGGAGAACTTGCCAGMTGGGAAGCAAGGATGGCATGAATGGAAAACAAAACAGGGAAAATTTCTAGGCTTCTTTCCTAGGAGGTTTCAGAGAAGCCTGCCAGCGCAGCCCAAGTTATTAGCCCTGTTGTATGAAGTATGTGACAGCTTTCCCAACCCTCTTAACACAACAGAGCCCAGCTGTCAGCAGGGCTGGCAGTGTTCCACGCTGCCTTGCTGCCAATGCATTAGGTTAAGTAGCAGCATCCCAGAGGGATTTGCTTCCAGTCTGCTGGCAACACCACCACAGTGTTGRTGAGGGTGTGAAATTCCTCTGCTCAGCAACTACGTGGGGTAGAGCTGCTTGCCTTACTCTTTGCTCTAGGGTAGAAAAATCACAGAGGAAAGAGAAAATGGGGAAGAAGAAAGAATACAAATACCATGCCCTGTCTGTCAGGGAGCTTTCTGCACAGCATAACCTCACAGTCCCTGCTTTGGGGAATCATTCTGCCATAACACCCATTTCTCTGAACTCAAGCCTGCTGTTAACACACCTTAAATATGGTTCTTGCACTTTCATGATCCAAATAACTTGCATTTCCATTAATCAGATTCATATATATTTAATGGTTGGGATCCCTTCTCCTAAACCTTGGGTCCCCTTTTTTTCTGGAGTCTTTTCAGCTGAGTCTCAGAATTAAAACTATATTCCAGGTATCCAGCRGCAAGATCTGTTTCGGAAATACTTTTATCATGAGTCATAATTTTTTTTAGGTCCTTTCACAGACAACGATTCTGTTATTAAGCCTTGGACTTGGGAGTAGAAGACTGAGTGAAGGGCTTATCTTTACATCACCCTCGGTCCCTGCCTTTCTGGTACAAACAGTGACTACCTGCACATGAAATGAAAGCAGCAATTCAGTCTCAGGAAATAATATGTTATTACCCTGACTCACTGAACCTTGCTGTCTCTTCCCCTTCACCCCAGGCGTTTTAGCTAATTTCAAGGTACAGTACATCGTTTTTGCAATAACACAGCTGAAAGTACCACTGCAACAGAAACACACTGAAAAGCTCCAGGTAATCTGCACAGTGTGCCAGACAGCAGCTCCTTATCCCAAAGAGAGGATGCTGTAGCTCTTTCTAAGCCTGAAGGAGACACGGGTGTGCCCAGAGATGAAAAGGACCTCTGTGCTGAAGCTCAAACACACTTCTTCTTTTGATCTTATAAACATGTTAAAACATAACAAAAGCAAATAGCTAAATGTTAAACTCAGGCTATTCTGAATGAGAAAACAAGGCATGGTATTTTAACTAGGAGCACTTTCACCACCACTGTCTGAAAACTAGGGCTGCTGAAAAGCTGATTTCCATCCAACACAGGCATGTTGTTCAGCATGAAAGTGTTTCAAATTTAGTATTAGAGCCATATTTTCCCCCGGCTGGGGACTGGCACTCAGGACTCAAAGTTCTAAGGAAACTTTACCTTTTTTTTTCCCATCCCTGCCCCAGAGTTTTTACATAAATATTTGAAAATTCTTCCCTTCCATTTTGAAGATAAGGATTTGGTCCTACAAACAAGATTAATCACAATTTGTCTGAAGGCCTAGTTTAACAGTTTGAAGGCTTCAAAATAGACAGATTTTGAGCTTAAGATTAAATACTAGGCAATACAAATAAAATCTTGAAAGCCTACACAATAACTTCAGTARTGGGATATTAAGGGGGAAGAGGAGTGATGAGGTGCAGACTCACCACTTTACAAACCCCTGGTCACAAACCTGTTGAACAAGAGAGCATTAACCTCACTCAGGAACCAGCAGACAACTATACTTCATTAAGCCTCCCCCCAGCAACACTGCAAGGGTACAGTGACACAAAACAAATTCTACAGACTTAAAGAAATAGATCAAGCTTCTTTTTCTTTCAGTGAAAGCAGAACCTAGATCTAGCAGTAATGGAAAGAGCCAATCAGCTATGCCCACTCTCTGTCACTGGACTGAATCTTAGGAAGGTTGGTTACTGTTCCTCTAGGATTGCTTTGGACAGTCCCCATCTATAAAATGCAAAAGACAGTATCAAGCTCAGTCAGTAAAGCATCAGAAAACCYACAACAGCAGCCGATGGTGGCACTGACATAAAGAGCAAGAACTGGAGGCTCTCCTACCTTCACAGATCCTTTCGATGATAAGGCCTTGGTAATACTGCAGGTCTTCATAGGAGGAGACGTGCACCAGGTAATTGGGAGACCCAGCAACTCTCAGTAGCGTGTCCCTCTGTGTGTCCCCAATGGCAACCACGAACACCAAGATGCCGTTGTGCCTGAGCTGCTGAGCTGGGGCAGCTGCATCCTGCACTCCCCCTCCGCTGGTGAGCAGCACCACCACCTTGTTGACACCAGGTCTTGCTCCCTTCTGAACGGTCATTACATCACTGTAAACATGSAGCAAGGCACTGCCAGCAGAGCCTGAGTCCCCAAGGAAAGGCACCTGCTCGATGGCCTGGAGAACAGCAGAGCTGCTGGTGTGGGTGTCCAAAGCAAACACAGTGTGAGCTCTGCTGCCGTAGATCACCAGGGCAATCTGGGTGACATCGCGGTTGATGACAAAGTGCGAACAGCTGCTCCTGACAAAGCGCCTCAGACGCACAAAGTTCTCCAGGCCAACTCCGGATGAGGCATCCACAACAAATGCCAAATCAAGAGACTGGGCCTGGCAGCCTGTGGAAAGCAGCACAAATGTGGTACCTCTCAGAATATACATCTGCTCCTTTCGGACTCAGAAACAGCAGTGGGAGGRAATTGTGGGCAAAATTCAACACTGCTGATCMTTGACTGTGAAGGGTGATCTGTGTCCCTTTCACACCCATAGGCAGAGATCCATCATAAACATCACTCATGGCACACCCTGGATCTGTGACTGACAAACAAAACATGGACATTCATCCTTCTGTCTTCCCCTCCTCCCTGATGGAGTTCAGGACACCTCTGCATGGTCTGGCAAACTCATCCCACAATGCCCACACTGCAGTCTTACCTTCAGGATTGCCCACACTGCAGATTTTTCTCTGTAGCTCTGGGATCCTGTTGAACAGGTCCTGGGGGTCTGAGTAGACAATGGTCTGCTCTGGATTGCCAGTCACCTTGGTCAGCTCTGCTCTCATGAAGCTGCTGCCTATGCCGATCAAGAAGAGATTTTGGTCCTTTGTGAACTTAGCAGCTTCTGCCACCGAATCCTGGGACTTGGAGTCAGTGAGCAGAACAACCACACGTGGGAGATCATCCTGCACATCTGCAAAGGCTGGRGTGCTCCTAAAACCGTGCTGTGCAATGTACTGCAGGGCTCTGCCTGTCAGGGTTCTTCCTCCACTGAAATTCAAGGCATCAATACTCTTGATGAGACTGACCACATCCTTGTGGTGGCCCACTTCAATGGGCACCCTGACATCGTCATCGTACTGGGCCACCCCCACGCTCATTGGWGAGTCCTGGCCCACCATGGCTTGGAGGAATCTCTTGAGGAAAGCCTTGAAGCGCAGGAACCCTTCCAGCGTGACCCCTGCTGAGCTGTCCATCAGGAAAAGGAGATCCACGCTGCACTCAAGGCTCAGCTTTGCTGCTGGMAAGGGAGAAGGCAATTAGTGATTCSCAGGGCCWCCCCAGCTGGGGCCTGCTGGAAGCCCTGTGGAGAGGGGACATTATGTCCAGTAATCCAAACATTTTTCCACTTGTATCATGAGCTGGAGGACAAATGTGTCAGGATCAAGCTTTATTTTGGTTGGATGCCATATCAGCCTTCAGAGACAGGAAACATCTATGGGAATTCATGAACTTTTGGATGGCAAACTTCAAATCAGAAATGACAACTCCACCCTCTTAGTGCTGCAAGCAAAACACTCTGAATGACACCATCACATATTGGAGAGAGAGTCCAAGCACCAGACCCTCACCTGTAACACCCTCAGACATTTTGAAGTGGAAGTCTTGGTTCTGGGGTTAATACAAGGTGTTTTGTAATGATCAGGACATTTTGGCTTTCTTATATTGAAGCCCCCAAACCAGGAGCTCCTGCTGGACCCATGTGTGCAGGGAGGGGACCAACAGACACATCCATGTCTCTCCCAATGTCTCTGTTCTGATCACATGGCTCCTGTGTGACACAAAGGCAGCCACGCCAGGGTGACACTGTCAATACTGGTGCTCTCTGTGCCCACACAGTGTCTGAACAGCAGGACCCAGTCACCAGGCCTGACACAGTCRTGATCAGCATGAGAGAAAACTCAATCTGTCTTCTGGAGAAGAGCCCAAAGAYTGTGGCCCAACCCCAGTTGTCCCCRTGGTGGCACAAAGGRCACYAAAAAGGCAGGACATGGCCRAGAGGGAAGGACACATARGTTCACACCTACCACAGTGGACATCTCCTCCGTACCCCAGCAGGCAGAGGCAGTGGTATCTGTCCAGCCCCTCTGGGACACATGTGCCACCATTCTGGCATGGCTGGGAGTCACAAGGGTCTAAACAGGACCAGGAAGAAAAAGACGAGGAGTCAGCAGGGAGCTCACCCCTCCCCATCCTCAGCATAAACATCACCATCAGTGGAAAAAGGGTGACAGCTCTGCTCCTCTTTCTACAGAGCTTGAACTAACACAAGGCCATGTGTACCCTCACCTCTATGGCAATTTCYTTTTGGGATGGCTCTCCAGCAGGCTATGACAAGAAAGCAAACCAGACTGTAACTTCATTTGATTTGGAACAGTGCCAATAACACCACATTTGTATAAACAGAGAATTGCTAAAGGTCCTGCAGCCCTGCCAGATTTACGGCAGCAATAAAGGGGTCAGGGTCTGGCCTGCTGCTTGGACAGTGTTGTACTGATAAAGAAAACAAAGCCACTGTCACCTGACCTTGCAAAAAGGACTAAAGGACCAGCCATTTCAACAGCCACAAAAATAGGCTGGTGATCAGCAGYGTCAGGCTCCCTGCTAACCTGATGCTGCTCATGGCACCAAGCAGATGGCTGGAGGCRTCACTGCATGCTCCCCTGGCTGGAGAGCAGTGACTCCCTGCAGGCACTGGGAAGAACTGCAAGACTCTGCTCCCAGGACATGATCAGATGAGGACTCACTAGCTCATCAACAGGAGAAGAAATTACTGGGAGACATTTTAATCCAAAAGAACTCCAGTCACAAATAGCCAGGAGAAAAAAAAAAGTATTAAATATCCACTGATCACAGTCTCTCACTCAGAAACAAATTTTTGAGAAGTGAAAGCAAACCCCTCTCTTTTTGTTCTTGAGTTATTGCCCTTCCTGCTTCATAAATTTAAATTTTGGAAAAGAAAACTCCCACCTGGGCATATAGTTCTGAAGCATGTGGATGGGTGTTTTAACAAGACTCGCTTCCACCTGAAACAGGAAGAATAAGACCTATCATGAATTTAAATATTAAAAAGATGTCTTCAAGGTGGACCTTACTGTGTTTCCAATGGAACAAATTTTCCTTTGAAAGCACAATTTTTCACAAATATTTAAAACAAATATTAAAACAAGTATTTAAAAAAATAGTCCATTCTAAATGATGTGACAAAAGGAAAAACGTTTCTCCAAATCTACCCTTTTGTTCCTGAATTCAACTATATTATTTAGATTTAATGATTATGGATATATTTTTATGACTCCAAAAATTATTTTGTTTGCTTGATCAGAGCAGMGTCTTCCCAGGACTAGAGACCATGTTTGCATCAGTTGTCTGAGGGATCTTCATCCCAGTAAAGAGCCAAGGTCAGATAAAAGCCTYATTACTGTATTTCTCATCTCTCAGCCCCACTAATTTTCAGAGATGTGGGTGTCCAGCTCACCTGATGAAAGGGCACAGTGAAGCCTGCACTGCATTTTGCTGCTTTGAGCCTTTCCAACACACATAGGTCCCAGCCAGCTCTTTCACAGTCTCCAGGGTCCTGCGTTCACAAGGGTGGGACTCGACTTTGCAGCCTGCAGCAAAGCAAAAGGCAAACTAGCATCAACTGACTGAAAATACAAAGGCTGTGAGAGCAGGCAACCATTTTCAGCTACCTGCCAACAAGAGACTGGGCACAGCTTCCAAGAGCTTCCAGGAGCCTCCACAGGAGGAATTTCCCATTGCAAAGCTCACCAGCCTACTCCACTTCCTGGAAAGTTAAATATTCAGCCTCCTTTGCTTTGCTATAAACCTCACACTGCTGAGTTCAGGGTTCAAGGACAGCTCTTCAGCCCCTTTGGTGCCTTTATCATTCATGTGTTTGATTTTCTGCTACCTCTGGACCACTCTAGTTCTATCCTTTGTAACTCTGCAAGCCCTGGGTGCCTCCCCTTAACACATAGCCAAGTCCACTAGAAAATTTAACAGAGCTGCATTTATCCCTCTATCCCCTGTCCCCTGAGCAAAGGCCAATATTCCCATTTTCAGAGGTGAATCAGGATGCAGGAGGATTTAGGATCCTGCACCTTGGAGGTATTTGGAGAGCATGCCATTCAGTTTGGGCCCCAGAAGCAGGTTAGTTCAAAGYACAACACCTGCTAATTCCCCCGCCTGCTTCCTGACACTGCCTCATCTTCCTCACTCAGTGCCATGGTCCAAGCTAAAAGCACGGCCAAGGAGGTGGGGCCAGCAGGGTCACCTGGAGCASTGGCAGTGCAGACAGGGTCACTCAAGGTGCTGAACAGGCCGTTGGCAGCATCATCAGCATCTCCAGCAAAGAGCAGGTGCCGCTCAGGGGGCTCGCTGGCCAGCACGTGCAGCTCCTCCCACCTGCCAAGCAAGGGACCAGTCAGCTACTAAGTCTCCCCCACAAATAATAAAGAATCAAAACCAACCGTGTGCAACAGAGAATTGATGCAAAACCACAACACTCTTCAGTTTCCAAGATCCTGGCGTGTTTAATCTTGGGCAGTAGCATAGCTCTACTCAGTGGAAAAGTTTCCTTCATCAACTCTGGTGCTCCTTCTACATCAGCCACCAAGCCAGTGCTTCCTCCATGCCTGTATTACCCTAAAAATTCCCTTCTGCCATGGTTCAAGTATGCTAGTCCCCARTTTAGTGCTCCCACTGAAACCAGACCAGCACTTGCTTCCCCTCCCAACTGCAGCTGGAAACACAAAAGGCAAAGATCATGGGTTGAGATAAGAACARTTTACTGGGACCAAAAATGAGATGAGCAATCAAGCACTAACAGTAGCAATACAATATTAGTAACAAAAGGTGTAAGACAAAATCAATTCACTTGCAAAGTCCGTCTCAATACCGGCTGTTTCATCCACCACATTTTCCTCCTTGGAAGGAAGGAATCCCCTTCCTCTCTGAAGGGARAGTGTCCCTTTCCCCCACCCCTGGCAATGATAAAAAAAAAAGACGAATTCTGTTCTGACAAAAYCTAGGACACCTTTTCTCTCCAAAATTTGTATCTAGCCCAAGACAACCCCTCATTCACCAGGACTTGCCATTTGGCTAGCTGGATGTCTGCTTCSCACTCTAGAAAGTTTCCTACCTTGGAAACTTGATTCCCACTGCAAAAATTGTGATGTGTCTCTCCTTCATCTGCATTGCAGGCATTGCAGGGCTGCCCTGGGATTTTCCATCCGAAATGATGATCAGGACTTCAGGGACACTTGAATTTCTGCCACCAGGGAAACCCTTGTGGAGGATGTACTTCAGAGCCCGACCTGTCTCTGTGCTCCCACCTCTAGAAAGCAGGGAGGTATAATCAGAAAAGAAATCAAAATTCCTCCCATTACTGGATTTTCCATTTGGATTTCAAATTTTTACCCTCTGSTAATGGGAAACATAGCCTATTTCTGCTGGTTGCCACACAACATTCTCATGGGGATGTCTATTCCTGTAAYTCTTCTCATCTCCCTACCCACAGGTCCCATCTAGTCACCTTTACCTCCCTCCTGTGGTCAGTACACCAACCCAGCTGTGAGGAACTCCTACAGAAAAGCAACGATGAATGCAGAAAATAGAAAATAACATAYAGCTTGCCAGTGAACAGCTTTAGTCAAAGGTGCTTCAGAAATCCTGAGACTCATTTCTTGTGAGATGATTAAAGAGGATTTGCTGACTTCTGGATGTCTCCTTAACCTGAGAGTCTGATTGCCCTGCTGTGCCTGTAGATACTGGAGCTGTCAGTCTGGGATGTAATGCGGGAGATAAAGGAAAGCCTTATAGCTGCATTGACACAAACACACCTCATTTGCTTTCTGAACATCCATCCTTTGCCCTAGCACCTGATTCCCAATTTGCTTCCTCTAGAAAAGCATTTCATCCTGCCCAAGTTCACCTCCGATTTTCAAAGAAACTTTTTTTTATTCTGTACTTGCCAGGCCTCTTTGCTTTGAACTTCTTCCTCCTCTGCACTCCATTTCCAAGCATACTCAGTGACCATGTGTTCATAGCGAGTCCAAATTCGCCCTTTTTGACCAGGTGTGTATAACTGTGAAATGTTTCAGTGAAAAGTGCTTCGCATGAGAAAAAAATACACTGGGTATAGTCAGTGTGATGACTAAATCTTGATGGACAGTACACTGTGCCCCTGTGAGCCCTGAGGATTAGAAAAAGTTAATAAAGAGCTCATTAAATTCAATTGCTTATTAATTTGCATTTGGAGCTTCACTGGGTTTTGACACAGTGGAAGTGTGTTTGAGGCATTACTCCAACAAGGATTTTCTGAAGTACAAGGAGATCTGGACTTTATCTGCTGTCTTTCTTCASGGACTGCACTAAGAAGGTTTCTCTCCTGTAACCAGCCACTGACTTATATGAAAGAAATTCATATGAAATTTAGTTTGAGATTACCACTGAGTACAGCTGGAACTGGCCAATGAATTTCAAAGCTATTTGGACAGCATTCACAGAAAGAGACCGGCAGCCTCCAAATAAATCACAAAACCTTCACTTCAGCCTGGTGCTGCCTCCTTCCAAGTGCTGTCAGCTTTGGGCCGAAGTCAGGAAATGCCTCACTGGCCAAAGGCTCATCAGAAGCACATCAAGGAACCTCTCAACCAACATGCCATATTCTTTTTTTTTTCAGAAGCCAAATGGAATCCATCCATAACTATTTTATCTACTTCAAAATAACAGCTCTTTATTTAAACTAGATGAAACAGCCAGGCAAAAAGTCATTATTTCTGTTTGATCTGTCAGCATCCATCTGTTGTCATCAAGGAAATGCAGTGCCAGACAGAAAACACTGGCTTCACTTTCTCTGCTCTCACAGATTTTCAACAACAACTCGAGAGGAGGAATGTATCTTGTTTTCTCTAAGTTCTTCCTGTAACAGTACCCAAGAGGTTTTCTTGATTTGCTAAACTCATCAAAAGCAATACAACAAAATCCAGCCAACAAATCTTGCTTGAAAAATGCARAAGTGATCACATTTGCTTGCAATATGTGCATCATGCTGACAGCAGCAGATAGCCATGGGAAATGTTGATCTAACCCTTAGTCCTAATGCAGATCAGCTACAAGAGTAGACATCCACAGGCCTCATCAGTACCTGGTCTATTACCAAAACAAGAGTTATTTTGGGGTGATTGTCAGATCCTTTGTAGATCCAAATGTATTGCTCAGAGATGGAAAGTTTGGATTTTGAGAGGCTCTAAGGWCAGCACTTCTTTGGACTTCTGGCTCCATTTCCTGAGGTCATGGGAAGACATCCAAGTCTTAACATTTCCGTCTGAAAACCTGATCCTCTTGAATTCAGCAAGCGCACATAGATATCTACAGACCAGCAGTTTGTCACTAACTCACAGGACAAAGGAAACTGTAACCACCAAAAAATGAAGCAGCACACTGTGCTGCCTTTGCTCAGCCATGCTTGCTTTTCCATGGTGGATGTAACCCACTGCCTGGCTCAAATAGATAGAACGATCTGGAAAACTCTCCATTTACCACATTATAATGGGACACTGACAACTTTGTCCCCTATCAACTTTCACTGACACAGACCAGATTTCACATTTTTAGTGGATTGTGGATCATGTACCACAGTGTTCATTCAACTCCCTCCCTGGGGGCATCACATTGGTGTAAGCACAACAGAAGCAGAGATTTCTAAACCTCAAAAAACCTCTCAATCCAGAGATTATTCATAGCCCAGAAAAAAAAGAGAAGAGCTTTAAAATAAGCTGACCTGAAMACAGTCCTTTTGATTCTGTCTTTCACTTCTTGTTTGGTCAGATAGGAATCCAGTGGGAATTCAAGGTGGGGAGTTGAGCTAAACTGTATCATTCCCACACGGACCTAAAAGAAAAAGTTAAAGGTTACAAAAGGTGTCTGTGCAAGCTTTACTCTTTTGATCAATTTACAAACTTGGGAAGACTGAATTGTATAGAGGTAAGGTCTGTTTTCCCAACTGAACCACTGGCATTCTAAATGAACTCCTAAATAGAATGGGAACTCCAGTATTATCTACACGGATTATAAACAAGGCAAAAAAGTTTACCTGCCAACAACGGAGCCTCTGCTGCAGTTACAGGCAGCTCAGGATCTATATTTATCCACTCAGAGCAGCTCACAGCCTCAGGGGCAGTAAGTTTGTGAATAACACCTTCTATACCAAGCCATTTATACACTGTGCAGGCAATCTTCCCATTACTAAGAGCAGCTCCCTCTGGCACTGAGCACAGCAGGCAACATAAACCAATACTTTTCCTACTACCTCATCTAAAACCATTTTCTGTARTTGAAAATGCAAATAGACTAAATGGTCTGTACTAGGCAATACATCCAGAATAYTTCACTGAAGTCTCACAACAAGTTTTATGGAATGTGACAGAAAGATCCAACCATTTTAATCTGAGCTTCCAAACTGAAACAAAATCAGTAAAAAAAGGCCAAACCATAATCTTTAACCTGAAGCATTATGTCTTTTCTCAAGATCAAATTGAACTGCTTCAAGTCTCTGAAAAATCAAGAAGTGTCCTGCAATCCCACTCTGCCTCAAAACTACATCTTTCTGAAGAAATACTCTGCCCCCATTACAGATTGTGGGTTGAATTTTGCAATTTCACTCATCATATTACCACTGGCCTTTCCACACATTGCCATTTATTTTTTAAAATAAAAGGAGATATTCCTGACACTCACTCTGTCTGGATGTATGTCCAAGGCATCACAGAGCTTGCTTGCAAAGTGCTTGGACCTTTCAAAGCTTCCTTTGCCAATGCTGTAGGAGCCATCCAGGAGGAAAAGGACATCTAACGAGGCAGAGCACTGCATCACTAGGAAAAAAAATATATACACTGTGAAATTGCCCTTTGTTCACCCCATTCTCTGGAAATAGGCAGCCAAGAGCTGAAAATCCAGACAAACTGCAGAGGATGGACTGGGGCAGCCCAGTGTTCACAACCCAAAGCCCAAATTCACCCCTGCTCTGGCCTGTAGCAGCTCCAGCTCAGCTCTCAGACCGCCAGACTCTCACTTTGGAGTTCAGGGCCTCAGCCTGGTCTCACTGACAGCACAGGAGCAGCCAATGCAGCGAAGGATCACTAAACACAGGGAGAGATCTCCCAGAGAGGGCAGAGGGAGGGGTGAGCAGCAGGGAGAGTTGGCTGTGCCCGGTGGAACCTGCAGGCTCTCCCAGTCCAAGGCACAGATGTGAATCCAGGGGACATTTGCCAAGTCTACTGAGTCCCACAGAGCCCACTGTTTTATCTGCAGCACATTTTTGAAAACAGGCTCCTATTTTCCTGAACACAAACTCTCTGAAAGGCTCCCAGACACTGACAGAAACACTTTTCATTAAAATCTGCCTTTTATCTCTTCCTCRGAGCTGTGTCTTTGTATCACCCCTGTCTGCATGAACATGACTACTCCCAAGTATAAGTTTCTGAGGTGCTTTTGTTGCAGTAGAAACCCACAAGTTCCCTGGCATAAATAAAAAAAGAAATAAATGGCAGATTGCACACTCTGAAGAGTCACTTTCAAAGCATTTAAAGGGAAATTTTAAAGTCTCCTCTGCAGCATTTGCTAAAATCAACTTCAAGGGAAAACAAATCCAGAAGATCAATACAGATCAAGCACATGAAGTCCTTAAGAGCTATTTTGGTTTGTGACGTTATCCCACCCAATTATTATAATTTTCTATTATCACTRCTTTTTCCAAATAATTCCTGCTAGCCAAAACCTGAATTTATAATTAGGRTTTTCTAATACCAGATTATAGGGATTGAAGATTGTCAGGCATTCCCTTCTGGGTCACTGGTTCTTCTGACAGAGCACCCAGCCTTGTCCTGGGGCACTGCATTGAGGACAAGCTGGAGCACAGCCTCCCTGCCAGCACTGCCCTGGCTTGTCAGCCTTGCCCTCRTTGCTGTGCTCAACCTGGAGATGCAACAGGGCTCTTATCCCCGCCTAAGCACACACAGAAAAACTGCAGGGCCCCCAGACTGGGCTCAGCATGGAGAAACACTCCTCATGTAGCTCTGGAGTTGAGGGGTGCAATGCAGCTCTTCTACAGGGACTCGTAAGCAGGATGTCTGCAGCCCACCAAGGGACTCRTGGGGACATGCAGCAGAGAGAGACACAAACACAGCACCTCGGGATAAAAAGTCTGAGCTGAACACATGATGCTACAGGATGGAGCTGGASGGCATGCCGGGCACAGGAATAAGTGCAATTTATCCCTTGACAGACAACAGAAATAAATGGCTATCGTGAGAAAATTCACAAGAGTTTATCAGTAATTAATTGCAAGTACAGCAAGGGAGCTGCAGGTGAACGTGTGCTGGTGAGCCAGAGCCCCATCCCCCTGCTCCCAGCACCCTGACTAGTGCTGGCTTTATAGCCCAAAAAAACTACCCATGTGGGAGGTCTGATCAAGTCTGATATTAAACACAGCCCTTTAAATCAGGATTACTTGGAGAAAGCTCTGAAGGAGCTGACAGAAACACCATCCAGTTGGCAAATAGCCAATTTGGGAAAAACAGAGTTGATCACGTCCCAGGAGAGCTAACACCAGTGARGAAGAAATCCAGGCTAGGGCAGAAGCATCCACAGTGCTGTGATTGCCAGAGATTTCTGGGGACTTTATGGACTGAACGGAGGCCAATAAATGTAAACAACAAAAAACTTCTAAACTACCCCCAAAACACAAGAAAAACAAAGAAACGAGGAATTCAGAAATAGCAAATGCTTGCATTGCAAAACAAACTTACACTGGCCAGCAGCTGAGATCTTGTCAATCATCTCCTGGTCAACATGGATTTGTTGCATACCCAACACCAGCAAAGCTGTGGGATCAAACATATAATCATCCATGAGCAAGACGTACAGGATTTAAGCTRTAACAGCAAAAATGCTGGTTTGCTGCATAAATTCCACAGTTGCAAAATGTAATATGGTGACACAGCAGAGCACCTATGACAGAAAAYGGCTTCTAGCAGGGACACAGAGAGTATGAAAAATGTCAAGGACATGACTCCAGCACATGAGATAGTCCCTCTGCTGACTGCATGCAGGAGAACGTTGAGAGCCAGGCCAGCCTTAGGCTTCTGAGATCACAGACATAAACACCAGATATATTTWTGCACTTCTAATATCATAACAGCAGTTTTTCCCATATCAATTAGACACTTTACATGCAGATCGGTCACATACATTCATACTCCCAGAAAAGGTGTTTCTCCAGGTATTTTTTTCTCCCCTTCTGTGTGAAAATAGGTTTCAGACGTTTATCCCTGAACCTCCTGGAGAGGTGCTGACTTAGTTCTCATTCCTCAGAGTGAAGATTTCCAGCTGGAGATGGGGAAGCATCCGAGACAAAAACCACTAATGCCAAATGACAAACATACCTTGAGAAAGCAGGAAAATGCAGATGGACTCAAATGACAAGAGATTCATGATGGCAAATCTGGAGGRGGAAAAAGAAAGAGATAAATAGGAATCCAATTCCTAAAGCAAATTTCTTTACCTGCAGCTGAGTATTTCCTTGCTGGTTGTCCCAGGTGATGRGCTCAGAAACATTTTGCCTGAGGRGCAAATRTAACTGTTGCCCCGGGGAGAAGGGTGGGGAACAGATAGAAGGAAAAAACATGAAAATGAGGGAATGATAGAAAARAAAATCTCTCAACATACTCATCTCCTTTCCCCATCAAAGCAGGCCTGGCAGRGAGGGGAGGGATTCCTTAGCCCTSACTCCCCGCCTCTCCATGCCCATMCATTCCTCTCCTCCCCCTCCAGTGCACCTCCCTCTCACAGCTGAGTCCCACCAGGACCCCGTGTCCCTGGGGCAGCCGGTGGAGAGCAGAACGCAGCTTTCCCGGGGGTTCACTGAGCACAGCCCGAGCCACATCCCCCCGATCTCCCATCAGCTCCGGCTGAGATGTTCCTGCTGCGGAATCCAGCACAGGGGACCTGTCCCTCGGCTCCTGCCTTGAGCAATGCTGCTGCCTGTCCCCATCACCCGATTCCAGCAACACTCAACCCCGGGCTCTTTCATGCTTYATTTGCTAAGGATTAGCTCTTTGGGGAGATGTTTTTATGCATAACTGTCCAGCAAAGTCAATTTTCTGCTCATTTTTCCTTTGAAATSAGCGAGGCTGCCATCACATCATAGGTGGATTTCGGTGACACTTTCAAGCATGCCCAGATTCAGACCAAATGTATCTAGTAGAGCTCTTGGCTTTCTATTTCAAACACATATATTTATTTTTTCTCCAGATTAAAAACAGCCACTRGAGCATACTTGACAGGATTCTCAAAGAGTCTCTGCCTCTGTCATTGCAAAAGCATATTTTTAGACAAGTTAAGTGTACTTCTTGATAACTGGCTCTAGTAATTGTTTTTCCAAGGAAACAAAGGGKTTTTTTTCCTCAGGAAAGACCTGCCTGTGCAGGAAATTACATACCCCTCACATCAGACAAGGTAAGATACCTGTAGAAGGCTATGCTCAGGTAGCTACATGGAATCACAATGAGGATTACCCCACTAGGCATTACAGAGACAATAACACTGTCTTGCAGTTCCAGGTGCTTTACAAGCATCACCCTTCAGCACATCCTCCCAACACCCCAACCACCAAATTAACAGATCCCRGGCTTAGGTAAGTAAAAAAGGTCAACACAACACATGAGTTCATTAGGAAAGACCCAGTGTGTGTACCTCAGGAGCTTCAAACCCTGGACATGCCACAGAGGAAAAGCCATTATTCTGCCATGCCTCAAGGGCATTCTTTCTAGGAGCTGTTTCCAGAGTGCACATCACCCATAGCAGGATAAGCCTCTGCATTCAGTCAGATGTGACAGGTGTGGGGGGATTTCAGGTTGTTTTCATACAAACAAGATGCTTCCACAACTTGGTGTTATCTTGGATTTAAATCTACTAATCTGCAGGATAAATTCTTTGCATTTTAGTCCAGCCAGACTCTCAGCAGCAGGAATTGAAAGAAAGCTTCATCTTTCTTCATCACCTACTGCTTCACCATCAGCATTAGCCCAGGAATAGCAGCAGGAACCTTATACAGCAGCTTTGCYGGAGGATGGGGTGGTGAGACCTTTTCATTTTATCTTCTTAGTCATTAAAAAAAGGAGAATTTCAAAAACGTCTACCTCAATACTAAGTCAAAAATATATTTTTTAAACCACATTCAGTCAAAACTCCTATTTTTGTACCCAGATTCTCACTTGGACACATGAATATCATGACAACTTACTGGAAGCTAAGTAAGAGTGTAACCACATGGTCTTGGAGGAGTGAGACCAGAGAGGGGAGAGAGGTAGAGAGGAGAAAAGCTCTTCTTGACAAGTACCTTCCTAACATGTCTTTCAACGTTGCAAAATACCACTCGTTTTTCAAACTGTCCCCATTTAATATGGGAAAAAGCAGGAAAGATTACACTGCATATTCAYTAAAGTATATTCTTGACCAGCCAAGCTCTCACTGCTGAAAAATGGCCCCAGCTTGCTGAGGGGAGCCCACTATGTGCTCACCTGATGTTCAGGTGTAGGGAGGGAAGAGACCAATCTTGCTGTCTCCTTTTTCAGTCTCTCTCACTTGTTTTCCTTATGTAAAWTTAATTTTTTCTTCTTGCCAAGGTTTGGAGGCACTGGGCAATTTTTTTTTAGAAGCCCTAGGCATCTGTTCTGCCCAGCTACAGGCATTGCCTGGGGGCAGCTCACAGAGGGTGCTGAAACTGAAGCGGAGCAGAGGAAGACAACATCAAAATGTTTAACTTCTCCTTAAAATAAATATCACAAATCTCAGTCTAAAAGTTTTGACAATGTTTTTCTCCAAGTGATAAACACGATTAAATTTCCATAAGATGCTCTCTGCAAAAACAACTTATTTATTCTCCCCTGCCCRGTTCTGCAGCAAGAAGTTTTGAGAGGCTCTTTTCCCCCATGCAGTAAGGGCTCCTGTACATAAAGAGACCTTGATCTTGCAGCACTGCTCACATGGGGTACTGTCAAAATCAACATGCTGTAGATCAGGTCCTGTACTACCCAAGTTACAAAATAAAAGACACTTTTCTGACCTGAGAGCTTTTGCTAAACTTATTGGGTAGTTTGTTCTGACAGAAGTGCTAGTGCTACTGACTTTGCCTGTGGCTAGAGCAGCAGCAGTGTCTCCATGAATGTCTCACTTTTTTAATCTTTTGCCACATGGAAACCCACCCAAGGGAGCCAGAGCCTGCCTGTGCATAACAAGCACTTGATGCTTGCAGCAGTGGGCAGCTTGYGTGGATGCTGCAAGAAAAGTTTTAGGGAGTGGCTGAGAAAGAAAGAAACAGCGATCTGTGGGAATTTGCTGTCTTAGCAAAAACAGTAACTGAAGAAAATAAACAAGCAAACAATACAGTTACATTGAGGATATACATCAACTTCGTCACATACCCTACTGAGAACTAATTCAAGGCTATGGGTTCTGGAGCAATTAGTGTAATTGGTTTTGTCACCCCTCACCTGAGCTGGACAAATCTGAGCAGGGAATCTCCTGCTGGGTGTCTGGCCTAACCTGCACTGCTTTGCACCAGCCAGAAACATCCCCACCTGAGGTAGATCAACCACTGGTACACCTACACCAGGAGCATGTGAATGGTTCCCAAAGAATGGACTGGAAAAGCTGTCACCTTCAGTGATTCTCTRCAGCAGAGGCTGAAAAGAGAGAACAAAAATCCTTTTTTAACATCTCTCGCATTAACTGTAGCTCTCACAATATGATAGATGCCGAGATCATCTCACACCTACCCCATTTCTCAAAAGTAACTCCAAACCTCATCTTCCTGCTGCATCTCTGTGAGCCCCATAGGGCAAGCCACAGCCTGGGAAATGATCTCCATGGCATCACTCCCACAAAGATGGACAGGCTGTTACCTGCATGGATTTTCAGGWCAGTGGTCTGTGAGTCCTTCCTAAAGGAGACTTCCTAAAGGCTCTACTTTAGAAAGCAGGAATCTTCCAGATGGATTTTTCTTTTTCTAAGAACTGTGATTCAAGAGAGATAGATCAAAAGAGACCTATTTTCCAAGGCATTCCAGTTACTTATTTCTTAAATCTTCCTGGAAGACTGATACATCTTCMAGAGCACACACTGAGGATGACATTGTTGATACCCCAGCACTCAGAAGATGAGGAATAGGTCAGCATACACACTGCCTCTCCAGTACAGCCCTTGCTGAATGAAGTGGGAAAATCTGATTGTACTCAGAGTGATACCTCATCTTTACTATGCAAAATAAACAAAAAAACTACTCTCATTTCTTAAATCAAGTATCTGGACACATTACAGGTCTTTCAATCCTTCCTTTATCATCAAGACTTGACCAAGTTGTTCTTATGTTTTCTGCAGTGAGATTCTAATGAGATACAAGCTGTTGGAAAGCCTGTCCTGGCAGGCCAAGCACTTTCCCCTAGCCGCACCCCAAAAAGTGCTAGAAACAAACTAATTAAAGCACTAGAGTACCGGCTGAGACTGGTTTCCTAGGTGGTGGGGTGTTTTTTTGTTATTTCACTAAYRCAGCATGGCACTGTTTATTTATTGSAGTGAACAKATTCTCGCCTTGTTCTGGCCGAGCTGCTGCAATCCCCGCACTGAGCTCGAGGGTCCCTGCAGGGGACCACAGGCACAGCCAGAGGCGGGACGGGACCTCGGCTGCACAAGCCACCTTTTGGGTGCCTCCCGCCGCCTCCTCCCTGCCCGCAGCTGTACAGGAGCTCTGAGCCGGCTGCCGCATCCCCGCTGCCCTGCGCACCCCGCCGAGGGGCAGGAAGGTGTCCGTGCCGGGCGCGTTGGGGACCGGGACCTGCCCCAGCCCTCCCCGGGAAGGCTCTTCCGGGCTCMATCCCCTCCCCGTCCTGCTCGGCCCCAGCCGTGCCCGGCTCCGCCGTTCCCCGTTCCCCGCCGGGCTGGGGAGGCAGCGGCGCGGGGCAGCCGGAGGAGGAGCGGGGCAGGGGCTGCCCCCGAACCCCGCTGTACCCTCAGCACCTCTGATCCCCACACGGCCCCTGCCGGAGGGTTAAGATGTTCTCAATTAAAAAGGGAGGGGAAAAGCGCGCTCGGAGTAGCACTTTACCTTTCCTCGGCAGCYTCTGCGCGGCTCTTGTGCACCTGCAGCCTTCTCCCCACTTGGATTTACACCGTGTTCAGCTGTGACAGCCTCACATCCACCATAGTCTGACACCTGCAACTACGAACTGCGGGGTGGGGAAACCACCCCAGGAACACCCACTTTACTGTAGGTTACATYTCGGAGCAACATCAGTGTATTCGCTCCTCCAACAGACTCCGGACAGCCCRAAGTGGCAGCAGCCCTGGAGCACAGCCAGCATGCCAGGGAGGAGCACAGAGAAGTACAGCCACAAAGTTACTCTGCCGCACAGCAACCCTAAAGTAGCCTCACATAGGATTCAATTTCTTTTGAAAATGTTTGTCCTAACGCTTGYTTTCCCACAGAAAACTATTCTTGACCTGTGAGCAGAAGTACCATATGCACATCTAATACACCTGGAGGAATGATATAAGGGGCCTGTTTTAAAAATTATGTTTCAATATGTTATTATTAATCATTATTATTAGCCAGTAGTGGTAGTTGCACAAAACTGAGCTACTTCAGTTAAAGAGATGCTTGCACACCTCTTCCCATGCAAAACTTAAACACAGATCAATAATTTTCTACCTATACAGACAAATTACAGCCTTATGTCTACCTCACAGTATGTAGAGTTAGGAATGGAACACACAAAGTGCTAAATAATAATTTCAGTCAAACCAAATGAACAAAGTATACTCAAGTTGCTCCAACAGTGATTCATAAATGAAAATTATCTTGTAAAGATACAAAAAAGCCCTGTTGTTTTGCAGTACTAAGTAATTTTTATTAATTTCATACTACTTCCCTTTCCAAAGTGCTAAACTTCCAGTTCACTTTTATTTTTCTTGMCCATAAAGGAATGAAGAATTCTATTTCCARGAGCACAGATGTTATTGTCTAAGTAAATTATATAAGATCCTTTGTTCAGAAATAATCATACAGGCATKTAGATGAATATATTTCATAGGTGATAGTTCATCACTTCAAGAATATATTTCAATTAGAGATTAAATCTAGCAGAGAAAAAACAATGCAAAAGGAAGCAGTCATCTAATTATTAGCTACTGCAAGAGTATAATGCAACAAAAACTAAGAGGCAAGGAAAAAACCTGAAGCAATTTAAGTGTAATAAAACATTAAGTCAAAGATAAATATTTCGCAACAATTTCAATTTCAAGATTCTTCCARTCTGCAAAAGCCCAAACTTGAATTATGTATTTTGAGTGAAGAAAAAAGCTGACCCTGCAGTTCCAATCACCAAATATCTACTGTGTTCCACAAACAATAATATGACATTCCTGAAATAGACAGAAATGACARCTAGGTATTCAGTCGAAGAAATACTGCAAATCTGTTAATTTGATTCAGTGGTTTTGTCATATCCCAGAATTGGTCTAATCTATTGTGATGTAAAAACTTGATGGGGTAGAAATCCTGATGATGTAGCTACACACTAAACAGCTCCAATATAGTTCACTTCAAAATAACATCCAGAGATGCATATTATACAGCCTAAGTGTAAGGAAAGAACTGTGCACAATAACRTGTTTACTGATTTTAGAGAGAACTACCTGTATGCAGTCCAAGACAACATTCAACCTTTAATGACACTGAAACCAAATTTATGAAGAACAAATTTTGGTCTAACTTCAGACCAGAAATTAGGTTGAAAGAGAAGTAATCAAAAAAGATACAGTTTTCTAAGTAATATTAATGGTACCAAAGTAAAGTAAAACTTTAAAGAATTTAAAATGCAAGTCTGCAAAACAGACTCACAATGTAATGGCCACTTCACAAAMTTCTATGGATTTTCAACATGAAAATAAAAGTGAAAGGTTCAGCAGCACACGGTGGTATAAAACAAGAGCAGAACTGAAATTTTAGCTTGCAGCTTTGCAATCCTCTTGGTTACATACTTGTGTCACAGTAACAATCCAAGCATGCAGATAGATRCAGGTACTTAAACAGCAGAATTTCCACGAAGTGACTCTCATTTTTCAAGCTGACAGATGCTCCTGATCTTCCAAAAAAGGAACTGCTGCAACTTGGTGGACATGCAAATGAAATGGTACATGCCAGAGACTTAGTGCTTCAACAGGTTTTTCATTTCAGTGAATCCATCTGGATTCCCAAATTTATTTAAAAGGAAGAGTAGAACTTGTTCATGCTTTTTAAGCTGTGGAATAAGCAGAAAAAATTAGAAATATACAATTCTGGTTTTTTTAAATTGCTGATTTCAGATCAGGTTAGATCCTAACATCACAAATTCACATAAGTACCATATAAATTCAATAAATATACAGTTCCTTTCTGTTGTAAAATCTTCTAAATTGTGAAAAAGCCAAAAGAATTTGAGCTGACTTCTCCTTGTCCATGTATTTGTCCYTCCCCTCTATTTTTTTCCTGAAGCAGCTTTCTCAAACCTAATTGATTAGGGTTAGGGTTACTCAAATCACGACTGAGATCAGGATCTTAAATTAGAGGACAAAGTAACACTTCTGAGACTCCACACTCCAGAAWAACCAAGTAAGAGCTGTGTGTGGGGCAAAGTACAGACTAATGACATCKATGTACCCTATATACTATCCTCCCTCAGCTTCAGGGTGCTCCAATTATTATATATAAAAAAAATCCGACAAAAAGTGTCAGGATATGTTCACATAACTTCCTTGTTTCAGTTAGCTATTATCCCCCCACTGCCATTTGCTTCCTACACGTAAGAAAGAAAGTACTGCTCAGACTGAATCTTACTTGCACTTCTAATTCTGCGCAGCGGCATTTGGTCTCACCTCCATTACCTACAAAAAAACAAAATGAATGAGCAAAATACAYACGTGCACTGCTTCCCTAATTTGCRAGGTGACAAGTGGAATTGTCYAGGATTTTTAGAAGGAAAAGTCGTTTAGACACCCCATGAGCTTACAAATTCTTCAGAATAAGCAAACAGAGGTAATTAAGCCAAATTATGTACCTTGATGTTCACTATGTGAGCTGTCAGCACTGCAAGGTTTGACCAAACCSTCCTTTAGAAGTTTGTCAGCTACATTCAGATAACCATCTTCCAAATGTTTCTCCACTGTTACTAAATTAACACTTCCATTAATTGCTTTAACTGTAATTGTGACGTATTGCTTCWGTAACAGTTTTTTCAACTCGTCAAGTACTAATGGAGACCACTCAGCTTTCTCTATTCCTGCAARAAAGGACAATCAAGTTTGTTATATAAATAATTCTCTTAAATATAGCTTGAATCTTACATACATGTTTTGAAAAATATGATGCTAAATTTTCCTAATATAAATAGCTTAAATTTTAGAGATAATGAATTAAAAACATTTTCTAAAYCGGCTTTTGCCATGTTTACCAATATACTATTTCAGAAGATCATCATGTTCTTTACCACTATTAAGGAATGAACAAGTACAAATTCATAATGTTCAAGAAAACAGTCAGGTTTTCCTGAGGTGGTTTTTTTTTGCTTATTTTGGGGAGGTTTTTTTACCTGCAAGTGAACATGTAATTGTCTGAAAAGGCAGCTKTAAATAGGAATCAGTGATTGGCAGGACCTTTGAAAGGGGTAATGTTTCTGTGTTCCCATAGTCCCCATACAGTACTTTCACCGCAGACTKGGAAGCTTCCAGAACAACAGCTCTGTACCAATGGCCATTGCCTGAAAAGATTGGGACAACAACAGTCACATGTGAAGMATCATCTTACAAACACAGCTCATCCTGAAAACAAGAATCTGTACTGTTTACCAGGAATTTTTCTTTCTTACTGTGGTGCATATATAAGAGGCCAATTGACAAGAAGCGCAATTAAGAGATCCATAAGCACTTTCAAGTTCCTGTTTTTCCTTTGTCAAAGCAAAAATGAAAGCTGTGTTTTACACTGGTGAAGGAAACGGAAGGAAACAATTGTCTCACCTGAAAACTGAGCACAACAAGCTTCCCCCAGTTTTGGATGGAAAGGCTGTTTGYTACAAGATCTACAGTAGTCTTCCAGTGAAATCATCTCCCTAAGGAGCTTCTTTTGATCTACACAAAAAATAAACCCCGTTTATACTGATCATATTTTAGCATAAAGGAGAGCATACTTAAGTTTTGAGCCCCTCTGCTCCCACCTTTGATACTTCTTTTATTTTCCTGCTAGCCAAGATACATTTCTACATGGTTCAGCTCACTATACACATGCACTCTATTAACCAGCTTGTAACAGTGACTTCTCACTGGTATTAGGATCAGTGAACACTTTTTCTTACCTTTATTTGGAGCTGGTACAGCATAGAATAAGTCCGGGCTTACAACTTCTGTTATGCAGACAGACATAGTTTCATCTACAGCCAATTCAATTGACTTCCAGTGCCCAGGTGAGGTTGCTAATAGAAATTGTAAGAAAATGCAGTGTTATCACTATATTCTAAGCACATATATATTTTAAGGGACTGCTATTTTATTTGATATTTATAATAACTTTCTGAATTTCAGAGACAACTACATGTCTTCCCTTCAGGACGACAAATCTAAACCAAGATAACTGATGCATACTTTGCTGTTCATAAACTGCTGGGATTTCAAAGTAGCTAAAGTAAAAAACACCTCAGAAAAAATAAGATATTGAAAAGCAAACATGAGAAAATTTTCAGTCAAGACAAAACACAATTTTTACCTTTCTCTTTTTGTCTGTAATGCCACCTACAGGGCAGCTGGGGTTCAACTGTAAAAACTGACAATATAACCAAAACGATGCATGCTTATTATCAATATTAACAATAGTTAAACAAGAAAATAACTGTTAAAGGCTGGAATACTGTAAATTCCTGTTCAATCTAAATGTTACCTTTCCTTTAATTACCTTTTTGGTCAACAGACTTGCTTGGAAAGTTATTTTTATCCTGTATAACTTCCTTTACAGCCAGTTTTTCTGAAGTTAGTATCTTATTGATCACTTTAGGACAATCTGTGGAATTGTCAGTAAGTACTACACCTGCCCCATCTTCRGAAAGGGCAGTCACTGTGGCTTGAAGCTCTAACCCTGAAGTGTACATATGAAATCTTGTTGTAGCTTCTGGATTCCATTTGCTATTTCCAGGCTTTATACCTAGGGAAGTAAAATAACTGTTAAAGTATCTCCATTCATTAATATTGACTTTTCTCAACATTATAATTTCCTTTTAAAAGTATTTAGAAAAAAATAAAATAAAAATATCAAGGCTACTTTTACTACCCTAAGGAACCACACTGTCTTTCGTTCTGTTAACTGCTCTCCCTCTTCCTCCTTTTTTTGAAGTGACTACATTTCCTCAGGASTCCCAAGTTTTGTCTTCTATATGTAATGATTCTACCCAGTACATACTTCACCTTAGCACAAACAACACAAATGAGACTGTTTTTGCATCTATAAGAGGCCTTTTTATCACAGGAGCAGACAAAACCTAAGTGTTTTAAAGGTGGATGGGTGGGRGAACAGCAAAAGACACATTTATGAAATGTGGTTTTGAGCTTTTCCCTGTTTCCACATATTTCATTTTTAAACCAAGTAGACTACATTAGAAAGAAAGAAAAATTCTGCAGAATTTTGAATAGTGTGGAAGAGGAGTTTGCAGAAGACTGAGAAACAGCAATACACCGCCAAACTCTTCAGAAGTCAAGTAAAAGATAGAGAACTGAAAGGCCAACTCACATCATTAAAACAGATTAGCTCCTCTGCCTGCAAAAATTTTGAGAAACAAAGTTGCACAAAAGCATATTCACTCCCAGCAAGGCAGCAACCAACAGCCAGCAAGCCCCACAGATGAAGCAGAACTRAACAAGTTCCCTTTGACCAATAAAGCAGTAAGCAAAGTCCACGCAGATCACTCCAGAACAGGCATGAACGCACAGAAAACAAACAAACCGACCCAAAAGAACAGAGTTCTGCACAGTATTCCCTGTCATCACCTCCTTCCCCCATAGCAGCAAGTCTGTAAATGCAGCAACCCTTGTAAGAGAAAGAATTCATGAGAAGATTCACCTGAGAGCCAACATTTAATTGCTTGAAATGGAAGTTTTAGGAATGAGGATGGGATCGGTCGGATGTTATCCAGTGGAACTTCCTCAGTATTTCCATAGTCCACAAAGCTCACTTGTAAAGTTCCATTTGAAATGACATTTTGCACTACTGCACGGTACCAGTTACCATCCTCTAATTTTAAAACAGTTTAAAAAAAAAATCATAATAGTTACTTCACCCATTTGGTAAGTCTACCACCTTTCATTTGTTACTATATAAATACAATTCTTTGCTGTTCTCTGCCAGTGCAAACTATCAATTAATTTTTATGTTCACCCTGTAAAAACAAAAATATTTTTGTCTGTTACTTGCCAGAGTAAAAAGCACAACAAGCGTCTCCATTCTCAAGCTCAGAAACACGTGGTGGAGTTTTCTGACAGTATTCAGCCAATGATTTGTTAAGTGAGTTTAGAGCAAGTAACTCTGAAAATTAGAAAGAAAAAAAAATCAAAGATGAAATCAATGAAATAAGTTGACTTGAACTTTATCAATACTGTTCATTGTACGGTTTACTTGTAAACCCTTCAAATGCATTCCTTGACTAGGTAAATCAAGGAATAAATATTACTCACTTTTTAAGATCTGCTCTGTATTTTTGTTTGAATGCCTTTAGCTCTCACTCCAGCCACTGAATGCCTTTGAGAGCCTTTAGCTCTCACTCCAGCCACTGAATTTTATCACATTCTTTTTCCAGCATTTAAAAAGCCAGTGGCTATCAGAAAGTTTTTATACAGACTTCTGACAGAGAAACACAATTWCTTTTKAACTCATCCAAGAGAAAGTCACAAYTCAATAGATGCATTKTGTCATTTTCATGTTACAATTTTTATGTACTTTCAAGTTTTTATAAATTACAAGAGCATACTAAAAAAGAGCTCCAGTAAATATTGCCTTGGCACAGGGAACATGTCTCTTAGCTSCCTTTATTAACAGAATCACTGAATCATGAAGGCTGGAAGAGACCTTCAAGATCATCTAGGCCAACCAACACAGCACCACCATAATCACCCCTAAGCACCCCTAATCACATTCAGATGCCTTTTGAAAACTTCCAGAAACAATGACTCTACCATCTTCCTGGGCAATTTATTCCAATGTCTGGCCACTCAGTGAAAAAAAAAACTTAAAGGTATCCTTTGGCTATGTTGTGGCAACTCTTTCACTTTCCTCTATTGCTTATCTTCAACATTTTCAGGTTTCAATACCATGATCCAATTTCTTTGTCACTCCACTTGCATTCTTAGATAAAAAACTCAGAGGTAAGCCTTTGTGCTGTAAGCTTATTTGAAATATGAATTCATTAGAAATGTAATAAATGACAAACCAGAAAGAAAGAGACTATCAGAAAGAAAAAAGCTGAATAATCTTACCATGGCTGTTTGCAATCTGACAGTAGAATTCTCCAGGATTGTACACTGTACACACTATGACACTGAGTGTTTGGTTAAGAGTTAATTTAATCCACTTGCACATTCTTTTGTTCACTGTGTCCTCTAGAAAGGACAGAGAAAAGTAAAGAATAAAAAGAATGAAGTTTTTAAAAAAGGAAATTCATTCTTACAGGAAAAAATACATCCTGGATGCTTATTCATGTCCTTGAATTTCTTGTTATAAATTGTCCAACAGACTAATTACCAGTGAAAGTCACTCTGCAGAGCCAAACCAAGTAAGAGAAATGTCCCAATGGTTTAATGTATTTATTCACTACYAAAATAACCTTAGTTAATAGGGAAGAGTAATCACACAAAGAGGTAAAGACTAAGTGGCAACAGACTAAGCAAGAGGGACACTGGGGAAACTTGGTTCCTGGGAAACAGGGCAGGGAGCACAGAAAAGGGAAAGATCTTCACCAAGACTACTGAAAACAATATAAGGAGGAAGAATAAAAACAATTACTAGAAAGACTGGTTGCAGAAATTTGCACTGTGTATTACACTCAAGGGCCTGAAAGCAGCTTATTAYATAACACAAGATGTAGAATAGATCATGGGAACAACTAGATCATGGCACATTGGAGAACACACTGTTTAAAACCTGCATTTAACAGCCCCCACTCAGTGAAGGAAAATTTAAAAAAAGGTGAGAGGTAACCAAGAAACCAACRAAGTACAAAAGAGGTTCTGAATGAGGGCCACAGATCAAAATGTGTTTAGATATAGCCAGGAAAGTTACTGCTCACTTCAATTCTATGTAAGATTCTTTACTCTTCTAAACAAAACAAGGAATAACCATGTCCTGGTTATTAACCATGTCCACAAGGCATCTAGTGAGGAAGATCAAAACTATTTGAACAGAGACTTGACATAAAAACTTCCGTTTTCAGTAGCAATGGATCAGAAGGGAATATATATGTTTGCCAGAYACAGGATGGCAAACAGAAACTTAACATGCTTCATATGAGAGAAGCCAGGAATCYTCCCCAAGATTGCACAGAAATTCAATGTAACTTTGCAAATCTCTCAGATTGAAGCTTTGGYCACTAAATTCAAACAAGCAACTTAAGCATAGCCTTGACGTTTTGTAAGTACTGCAGTCAAACTTTCAAGGACTAAGTAAGTCAGTTTATCTGAACAATATAGGACAATGACTATGACAATASAGGAAATACTATTTGTACTGATGGACAAGGGCATATGAACAGGCTGGTAATAACTGGTCATAGCCTACTTCAACTGGAAATTRTGAAACTTCCAACCAGAGTAAACACCAACTTCCAAAGCAGGCAGTTACAACTTTTTTATGTGTGTACACCTGGGCACACACACATAGACACCATACTCACCATTGGCTTGCTCAACATCACTCACTCTGGCTGCTGGTAAAACCATCTTCATTTCTTCAGTTGCACAGCCTTCCTCTATGAGAAGGCTTGATATATTTACTTCTGGAGTAACTGATGCATCTGTAAGCTCCACCACAGATCTAGAACTCTCTTTATCCACTACTTTTACTGTCAACACTTTGTCTTTCACCAGTTTCTTCATGTAAGAAACACCTTCTGAGGTCCAGGTTCCTAATGGTGGCTTTACACCTAAAAAGTCACATAGTATGGAAAGGTATAACAACTGCAAGTACTTTATGAAATATTCATCACATTTTGTAGATATGCCATGACAGTTGAGTACTCTGGAAAAAATGCCAGCCATTTCCTCCATCCTTCCCCATATTTCAATGTGAGATACTACAGGTGTGACAGTTATGTAATACCATTTGTTTTCCCCCTATCTAGTTTGAAACTGCTTATCATATACTTCATACCTGCCAGGCCACATCTTATGGCTTGAGCTGGCAAGTTCATTAAGCTTGGAATCATAGGACGAAGTCTGGTCAGTGGAAGAGAATCAGAATTACCATAATCCATATAGTCCACCAAAACAGTATCTTCAGAAGCATAAGCTGTAACAGCAGCACGATACCAAAGGTTGTCTTCTAGAAAGGAAGATAGAGATTTAAAGTCTGAGAACAGAATAATTTTTTTTGACAGACCAGTAAAAAAAACCCCATCCATCTCAGTACAGTTCAGGACTACCAGGTGTTGGCTAAGTAGCATTTTGAAGCAGTCTATCAGAGCAGCATCACTACATACAACCCCATTTCTTCTGTGCTTTTTGGGGGGTCTGAAATTTCAGATACACTTATTTCCAATCCTGGGGAAACAGTACTTACCAACATAAATGCCCCAAATATTTCCATGATCTCTTAAAAAGCAATTCTAAATAATCAGAATGTGTTAAGAGTTTGCTCAATAAAGGGATATTTTAAAATTGGTATTTTCCAGAGATCATTTTTAAAATCACTGCCAAGCATTATTCACAGCTTAAAAAACGAGACAATTCTACATGAAACATTTCCAAACATAATTACAAATTGTATTGCTTTGGTAATAAATTTAGATGATGTAACTTAGTATTTTCACTCCATTTTTACCTGTGAACTGGGCACAGCACGCATTGCCAGCAGCAGGACGGAAAGATGGATTACTGGGAAATTTGCCACAGTATTCATTAAGAGATGCTTCAAGCTCAGCAAGCTGACCTGATGTTAAAATACATAGGTTTTGGAACACAGCCTGTCTTGCAATTATTACAAAATAATTAAGCTCACAGCCTGGAAGAACACCTTGTAGTCTAATGGAGATTATTTCAAATGTTTAACATTGATCAGTCTAGGGCTTTTCAATCAGTAACATCCAAGAGAGTTGCTTCTGAGGAATCACAGCAGTGAACACAGTGAAAACCAGTGATGGAGTTTTTCAGCAAAGGCCCAAAGCTGAAGCCAGTGGTTTATGGCAAGCCAGTATTGAAAGCAAGCTAGTAGAGGCATGTCAAGAAGAAACCAAGGAAGACAGCTCTTCCAACAACAGGCAGATGATGAGGTAAGTCACTTCCTCCCAAAGGACACATTTTGTTATTGATTATCAGAATTAAAAGGCTGCAGAGAAAAATTCACCATAGGAGATACACCAAATCATATCAAGCTGCCAAAACCCTTTCAGCTGAAAAAAACCCCACTGGCTGAGACTGCACAGGGAGGATGACACATCTYACAACTTACTCTGCTCTTTATACTCTCCCCCACATCTGTTTATGGACATTATGGAAGATACACCTAAAGTCCCTGCAGCCTCATGCTCTGGCCCACTAGACAGTCATGTTTTTCTCTATCAGGGAACACCAAAGCAGGGTTTGGGCACTGGCCTCCCCATACTCAGATATTCTCCCTATACTGTGTAACAAGRAAGTTCAGTCCACGCATTCAGTCTTTAAGAAAACACTTGTTAAACACTATTACAGGGAATAATGAGGTATACAGAAACAGTCATTACAAACTCAAACGCATTCCTGGAACACTCGAGTGAACATATTTATATTTAACATTAAATATTTGTGATAAAAAATGACTTGAGGTTGCTAAAATGCAAACCATATCATTTTTCTATTTTGCACTACTCAAACAAATTATCACCTTTCAGGTTAGCACGTGATATGAACAGCTAACACTGGCAAAAACTATCCTCATAGCATCATGGCTTGTAACTAATWGAGGCATGGACTAAAGTTACAGGGAATCATAATTTCAGGTCAACCTCCAAGACCAGCAGCACCTTCCTCCAGCCACCCTCCACCAAAGAGAAAAATGTCATACTAGGCATCCTATACCCCATTTCCAACCCATCACTTACGGGCACTTTGCATCCGCTGACAAAAAAAGGTTTCTGGATTTTGAATGTGGGAAACCACAGCAGAAAATTCCTCTCCAATACTTAAAGGGACACACTTGGCAACTGAATTAGCACAATGAGGAGAGTCTTCAACCTCAGGTATTTTTTTTTCACTTCCCTTTGTATGGTTTTCTGATACTGTACATAAAAAAGGAAAACAGTTGCTAATCAAAAGCTACCTAACTTTGAAAATATAAACATACTGAAATATTTATTCTTTCTGTTGGTGCTTTGGACTTTGAAGGCTCCTTTCATATTATGAAATTAATGCTCACATAATAATCACTAAACAAAYATTTTATCCAAAAAAAAGTGTATGAGCTTATGTCAGCAGTGACCTGAAGGAAGCTCTATTAGCCAACATTTTTTAAGTATGAGGTGATGCTAGTGAGCAGCTAAAATAATGTCCTGCACAAGAAGACTTAAAATTCCCCAAGTTTAGTTTGATTTGCTTGCTTACCTCTAGGAGAGTCTCCTTTGGCATCACTTCCAGGACTTGAATGAGACTTCATTTCTAAGGGAAGCTTACTTAGGCAGTCTTCTAAAATACAGATGTAAGAATTAGTGAATTACCATACAAAACAACCATCAGTTAGTTTCACTTCAGAACCATACATCATTCAGAACTACATCCCTATCACAAGGTGAGCATGTTCTACTTATTTGCTCAGCACTTACTATGTTTAAAATGTAAAATGTAAAAGTAATTTCAGAGTAGCTCAACTACTTGAATTTTCTGACTTCAGAAAATGAGCAAAGCAATAACAATCAACATTTACTTGCAGTCACTAAAGACTGTTAGCTGAAAAACTGATTACAGCTTTTCAGACAAAAGGACTTGTACCTTACCTCATTATTTACAACACTAAGTATGTAATGATTTAGTCAAGATGTCTTTGTAAATCTTCATTTCTTAGCTATTACATATTTCATTTCTGATGCATGAAACAGTATCTCAGGCTTTCAATACCATTATTTTCAAATGAAAACCTCAATACAGGTGTTTCAGTTGTTTGTAAAGTCTGGAATGAATACATGGAACATTGCAAGAATGCAGTGATATTTATGCGATCTCTCCGAAAGGTTGGCAAGTTTTATATCACTTTGCCACTAGTGTGCTGTGAAGCAACCAAATATGAAACATKCTCAGCAGAATCCTTAATCAGTTGAATTTACATGGGAGAGTGACAAGAGGGAGGAGGGCAAAAGAAAAAACTCTCATCTTTTACAGGTGTTGGGRAAGGGTATGAATAAAAAAGCCTTAATTGTGTTGGGGTTTTTTACCACAGAACCAAGCACTTACCAGAATCTGGAAGAACAACATCTACAGCAAAACTCAMCCTCACTTCCTCCTGCAACATATCAACAAGTTAGTGAACAGTGCTTTCCCACGAGCTGGGAAAAAAAACTGGCAAGGCCTTCATTCCATCCTTTTCCTTTTAGATCATAATTAGCCAAGAAACACTTAATGGACTGGAAATAATTACAATAAGAATAAGAGGGGATAGCAAATTATTTTTCCCTGACTATATAATTAAGGCCTTCAGAAATATTGCCTTGCATATTGAAGTTAAAGCTTCTGTTGGGGCTTGAAGTGCTATCAATCCAACTAACTTTGCACTCTCTTCTAAAGATTTAGRAAACAAGGTTAAAAAGAAGAATCCACAGAAGCTGATTTACCCTGCTTAAAATGGGTATTTGAAAATAAACTGACTGCAAATTTTTTATTCATATTGTACAGTCATTTGATATAAAGGTCTTCACCATCACTTATCAGTTTCATTAGAACCCAGTCAAAGCACACAGAGYAGGAATTAACAGTATAAGTAACAGCAGTCTCATGACATGACGCTTCCTTTCCAAATTCCTTCAAGAAGTTAAACAGATGAACAAGCTACTTCAAAGAAGTACACAACAAAAAAGTTCTACAGTGCAAACATGAGGCTAGTTGGAGCTATCCACATTTATTCACCTTCATAAACGTGATCCCAAGAAACCACAAAGACAGAAAAATCAACTCCTGCAGAAGAGTTCCTAAGAAGACTGGGAGAAACATTTGGCTCAAAGTAAGATCAAGAGAGGCTTCAAAACATGACAAAGGAGAACTGTGCCACCTTTAGTTCCTGCTACAGCAAAGAAACAACAGCTTATCTGCATCTGTTACTGTACAATAGTACGTTAAATGTATTTCTCTGATAAATTTCCAAGGGTCTAAGAAGCAGCTCATTATTTTTTCACATAAACAAGACATCAGAAGTTTTCTGAATTGGACACGCTCTATCTGTTTCCTTCCCATAGTATATCTCTAGCAACATCATACATATCTTSATTTTCAACTTTTTCACAAATGTTTTTCAAACAAAAGCAGGGTTGTCAGATAGCACTTCTAAGGGTTCTAGAAGTAACGTTTTTCTGAATGCTTCTCCTAGTAACTTTACATTTGAAGCACTGATCTTTCTAAAATGAGCAACTTGTTCCTTTCCTTACAGGTTAAATTAAGCACACTGCCACTCACTCACAGCAGACTCACTCAAGACATAATCAAAATTGTGTTCCATACCTTAAGATAAACTCCTTTCTTGGTTTTGCTATTACCTAAACTGTAATCAAAGAAAAACATGTCAATTTGAAGAACCAAAGACTGACAAGTAGCATTAATAATACAATCTACTTGCAAAGAGACATAAAAGGCTGTGTTCATAGTAAGCGATTTTTGCCAGCCTTTATTCCTCATCCAAGAAAATGCGGAATGACAGATGTGCTAATATGGAATAATGACACGCATAAGATAGTGCAGTACTAGCCTAAGAATGAGCAACATATTTTATTGCAACAGTGCCTTCCCATGGTCATTTATTTTGTACTGGGAGGGATAGTGTCCTTCTGTGAAGATCATTTGGCAGAACTTTCAACAAACTTACTTCTGTTTAATGGGATCACAAACTACTCTGTGTGCTGGCCAATCTTTTTTCTGACAATCTGTAGAACAATAATATGTTTGCACACACTGTGAACATCTGAGCGTTCCTAAAAAAAAAACAAAAACAAAACAAAACAAAAAAGAGAAGTCTGAGCAAAACAAGTATTACTGGAAGGGACAACTTGCTGTTTAAATAATWGCCTTACAAAACAGCTCCCCTGCAATTCTAAGTACATACAAGTAAGTATTTGTATTCACATATAGCTATCACACACTGCTGCCCAAATGTCCCAAATTCCTTCAACATTTAAGGGAAAAAAMCCCACCAATTTTTGATAAGGAGATGCTCTCTTCTGCTTGTCAGTTCTGTTACTCCAACTATGTCCTGAATAGTCTGTACTTGTGTCTCAGAGCTAAAAATGTACATCCATTTTAAGACAATTCTGAGCAAACCTGATCTGTTTTCACTKTATATATTGTATGTCATAGACTGCAGGAAAACAGGCACTTACCAAATAAACCACAATGATGGCAAGTGCCCCCTTTATAGGGTGGGGCTAACCAACTCAAGAAACTCTTATCATAGCAAATAGAAAAAGCACTCTTAGAGGAATATTGCAATTTCTCTGGCTTCCCACTAATCCARTCAGAATGTGAAACCTGTGAAAGAAAAACCTGAAGTCATTCTTACTAGAAAAAAACTTCCCATTAGGATAGAAATATTCTAATATACAAAAGTATGACAACAAAAAGACAAAATTTCAAAATTCTGGAAAGWTAAATACATGCTGACAATTTCTGCTATCTAGAAATGCTCAGAATACTTGGGGCAATTATAAARTGAAATAACTCACAGTATTTCCTTTATCAGCTGCAGCTACTATGCAGTTCTCTCTACCAGTTTTGTCTTCCACAGCACTTCCTAGAAGCAGAAGTATTTGCAAAGGGATCTGATTAACACACGCCTCTGTTAAGGAATATCTGCAGGAAGAAACAAGGCTCTTGGCTACTCCTACTATTCTGCCAGCCCATTTGAGCAAATGGAGATGCCTCGACCATGACACATTCTGGAAGTGACTTGTTTTCACTCTGATACTATATTTATTCAATAATGCAATCAGTGGCATTATTAAAACAACGTTTTCACTGCTCTGTGCTTATTACTCAATACTGAGAGATAAAACACTCTGAAACCAGAGATTCCMACTTTCCAGTGAGTGCCTTACAAACCTCGTGGTCTTTCCTGAGAATTTTTCTTTACCAAACAACTCTCACAACACATTCAGCTAAGCCTGCATATCAATATGGTAAGAACTTTCTTTTTATAAATCAGCAACTCATCCACCTACAAATAATTTTGTTTCTGTTCTAGGCCACTCAGAGTTTGTTCCAGTCTGGCACGTCTATCCAAGGTCTCCACTGAGACAACATAAAGCTTACTGGCCTTTTTTCCCACCTGGAAGCAAGTTAATCTCCTAAACTTTGCCTGAACTAAAACTCTTGCCTAACATGAAATTAAATTTCATGAACTCTCCAGACTCAAGATGTCCATATACAAAGCTAATTCAAATCTCCCAAAATGAAGCCTTTCCTTCTTCCCAAGTTGGAGTAAGAGAACACAGATCAGACAGTACCGAGGCACTTAAGGGATAAGAAACATTCCTGAAGGWACTCCAACTCCCACATATCGGTCCAAATTCCTAAYACTTCAATTATSCTGGTGGGTTTTTTAAGTGTCTAASGCATTTCASCTGGCACTAGTTTGGATAATTAGGAGTTGTATTTATAAGCTATACTCACAGTGATTATGTGTATCAATAATCAAGCAGATAAGCAATCACAGAAGAACAAAGTCAAAATACCTCTGTCAAACTTTGGACAAAGTCTTGTTTACTGCACTTGTATACCGCTGTTAAAACTTTCTGTACTGTTTCCACAATTATCAAAATTATCCTGTATGGTTTACCAAAAAAACCCTGGGTTTCATTACTTATTTCAGAAACTCAGCCTCAAAACTAAAAGCTTTTCAACAATAAGTTGGTACCTGTGACCCTGTTGCTTAAATCTGCATCTGCAACTTCATTATGTTGAAGATTAAGTGGTTCTGCCATCATGTAAAGGTTGACAACAGAGTATGACCAAAGGTGGCTGGCTGTGGGCCAGATAACTGCAAAAGTATGGATTAAAAGATTAATTCAGGTAGGCACACAAATTAAAAGTATTTTTGGGTCATGTTCTGAACCTGTATTTTAGCATTTATTTTGGAAGGCTATTTCTCTACCATCTATTTCTTTTGCTYGCAAAGCGAAATATTTTTTGCATTAAAGATCTCAACAATGAATACTACAGATCGAATGATGAAAATTCCTTTAGGAGAGAGGAACACACCAACAARCAGGAGTGGCCATCACCAGCTGCTGGTGAGGCTCGCTGTGTCTCTGTGGAMGAGACCTCACTGTACTTTCGGTAAAGAAGTAGTAATAAAAAGTACAGGCCGCACTCCTGGGTTCCTCATGGCCAGGAGCCTGAGGGGAACCACTGCCCCAACAGTGGCTCCCTGAGGGGAACCACGCCCTGGGCTCTGCTGAAATGCATTTTCAGCACCTTTCCAAATGTTACGACGCAATATAACTGTTTAAGTTAAAAATACAAGAGAAAACAAACTAAACTGAACCTRCGAATAAAGCAGAGAAGTCTTCGAACTGACACTACACACCAAGTCAACCAGAAACGAGCTTTCACGACCGCAATTRAACAAGTGCTATTTAAATTAAGTAATTATAATTCAACTCCGAATAAAATTAGACACCTGCGTTCCACGGCCTCCGGCCAAGCTCGCAGCCCGTCCCACCACCTCCGGCTCTCTCTCCCCTCACGGCAGCGCTCACCCCAGGCCGCCCCCGACCCTCTCTCCCCTCAGGGCAACCCCCAGCCCCTCTTTCCCCTCACGGCAGCCCCCTAGTCCCTCTCTCCCCTCACGGCAGCGCTCACCCTGGGCCACCCCCAGCCCCTCTCTTCTCTCAGGGCAGTCCCCAGCCCCTCTTTCCCCTCACGGCAGCGCTCAGCCCGGGCCGCCCCCGACCCTCTCTCCCCTCAGGGCAACCCCCCAGCCCCTCTCTCCCCTCACGGCAGCGCTGAGCCCGGGCCGCCCCCAGCCCCTCTCTCCCCTCAGGGCAGCCCCCAGTCCCTCTCTCCCCTCAGGGCAGCGCTCACCCCGGGCCGCCCAGCCCCTCACTCCCCTCACGGCAGCGCTTACCCCGGGCCGCCTCCCCGCCACCCCACGAGGCTCACTCGAGAACCGTCGCTGGCGGGAGAGAAAACAGCGACCCCCGAAGGCCGGGGACATTTCCAGGCGGTCCCGGTGGGTCCGTGCCTGCGCCCCGCCCAGGCGGCTCCCTAGGGGCGGAGCGGGGCAGGGGCTGCCCGGCCGCTCGTAGGCGGGGGTGCTGCCATCGCAGCCTTCGCGGCTGGAGAAGTGTTCCACTAATCCGGGATGGTCCAAGCTCCATTCCCGCCTGGCCTTGAACATTTCCAGGGACGGGGCATCTAYAGGTTCTCTGGGCAACCTGTGCCAGCGTCTCACGACCCTCACAGTAAAAGGATTACTTCCCAATAYCTAATCTAAACCTCCCCTCTCAGTTTGAAATTGTTCCCCCATGTCCTATCACTACATGCCTTTGTATAAAGTCTCTTTTCAGCTCTCTTGTACCATTAGKTACTGGAAGGTGCTCTTAGGTCTCCCCAGAGAGCGAACAGTCCCARTTCTGTCAGCCWGACTTCACAGAARAGGTGCTCCAGGCCTCTGACCATCTTTGTAAACATAGTTACTCATGGTTGTACCAGTAACCCCAGTCTTACTTAATACAAATTCAGAAAGTGGCTGTGAGATGAAATTTTATRCATAAAATTAATGCATTTGTATTTTATAAAGTAATTGAATTTTCCCCTGCAGCCTAGAAAATACATCTTTCCAACCTATTCTCGGTTTCATTTGTCCTTTCTCCTTTTCTTTTCTACACAAGATGTTTTCCCCTTTTCTTCTTTTAACTTTTGTTTCCCACCCTCGTGTCTCTGTTTTCATGAAAAAACATACTTCATCCTCAAGACTGCTGCAGTTATGTTACTACTCAGACATGATCTCAGGTGTTCCCAGTGCTGTGCAATTAAGCTTGCACCAAAAATAAATTAATCTGATCTATTTTAGTGCCTACATTGTGGTACTTTTTATTAAAGTGGATTTTAATCTTACTCTTTCAGTACAGAAGGGAATAATTATCTCTGTTCACAGAGAAGTAGCTGGAGCATTGCTATTTTGCCTTAAGTCATTTGAAGTCTGGCTGTGACAGCAGTTCAATCTAAATCATCTGTGTTTAAGTCTCAGATCCTGTCTGCCAAACAATTGTTCCCTAAGYATTCTCAAAAGAAAAGCGAGCAACACACCTAAGGGTCACTGAGTTTTCTCTCCGTGCTTTCGCTACCATCTAGCACAGTCAGAGAAAGGACTCTTCCTGKCTCACATGAATTTCCAGCCCTTAAATGCAGCCTGAGGAGAAGCTGAGTGTATCAGAGGCTGCTCTTACAACAAGAAGGAAAATTAGGTGGGATTAGGTCAGATTTCAGAAAATCCATCTGCCAAATTGCACAATGTTGCATATCAGAGTAGGCACACTTGTATGTGGGAGGTTGTGGGGAGACAGGGCAATCAAGATCACACAGCCTTCAAAATCTGCCTGCCCCTTGTTCCTGTCCCTAAGACTAGCCCAATAGTCCTCATGCCTTGGAAGAACTAACACCAGTAAGCTATTGAAAAATAGTTCTCTCTCATTCAAACATGTSTCAAAAATAATTAGGCTTTCTTTGTGGCTTGAAACATCTAGACAAGATGACCCAGAACCTTGTCCAGCTGAACCTTAAAATTGTCCAGCGCTGGGGAATCCACTGCCTTGGGGAGATTATTGCAATGGCTGATTTTTCTTGTTGTGAAACATTTTACTCCTGTGTGTATTTGGAATCTCCCCAGAAGTGATTTGTATCCATTACTCTTTGTCTTTTCCATGGGACTCCTTGTAAAAAGAAGGCATTTCCATCTTCTTTGTAGCCGCCCTTTAAATACTGGAATGTGGTGATGAAACCTCCTCTGAGCCTTCTTTTCTGACAGCTGAACAAGCCCACTTCTCTCAGCCATTCCTTCTGTATAAGCTTCTCAAATCTTCATGATCTTTGTGGCCTACCCACATCTTTTTTGCATAGCAGGGACCAAAAGTGAACACAGCAAGCACCGAGTGGGACAAATACTTCTTCATCTGTGCTGGTGATGCTCTTGTTGATGCAGCCCMGCATCCTGTAGGCTTTCTTTGCTGCAGCAGCATCCTGTTCACTCATGAGCTGCTTTGTCCACCATGAACCCCAGCTCTCTTTACACAGAACTCCTCCTGAGATGGGTAGATAACAGCCTGTGCTGCATTTATGGATTATGTTTTCAAGGTGCAAGATGTTACAATTCACCTTATTGGACTGAATAAGGTTCTGCACACTCTTCCAGCCTTATCTTCCCGCAGGGTAACTGAATGTCAGAGGTAACTGAGGAGAGTGTTGTTGGGGTGGAGGCTGATGAGGAGCAGCATCACAGGAGCTGCAGGAGGCTGATGTGACTTGCCTGCAATTGTTAGAAAGAGCTTCAGGCTTACCTAGATGTAAGTTCTGCAACAACTGTACCAATGTGTCATGAGCTCTAGGATCTTAGTGGATCTACATGCTGAACAAAGGACAGTGCAAGCAACATACAATGAAAATAATTTTTTCCAGTTCTAACTTACTCAGAGCACTTGAGTGATCGTAGTCACACTTGGGATTTATCACACATAGATCAGACGTGGTTGGTGGTGGCAAGCAGCTTCAGCAGACATGCTGTCCTTACCTGATACATAGGGGAAAGATGGGGCTCCCTGAAGACCCCTGGCAAACTGTGCTTGCTCAGAATAAAACAGTTACACAATGAAAGCGATTTCYAGTGAAGAAAATAATAACTCTTTATGTAATTTTGCTATGATGTGAAATGTTGSAATCAATTCAGCCCACAGTAATTGCATTACAACAGACCAGTCTTGCGACAAACAGAGAAGATTGGATCTGGGCAAGCTGGAGACGTGGCCCTTTGAGCATCAGTGGTCTCAGGAGTGTGGGATGTTGTTTAGCACATCTGCTATTTAAGCCACCTCTATGTTCTCCCTYAAAGTGGAGTTGCTAACACTTCTTTACTTGAAGGAGAAAAAAAGAGGTTTGTAAGCCCTTTCAGAGGGCAAAGCTATAAAAATATTCTGGGTAATTAACAAATGTCCCTGAAAACTGAGCAATTAGATGAACACTTCCTTTTCTTTTTCTTAGATAACAATGCATGAGCCAAAAGCCAGAATTACATCCTTTTTAATATATGGGCCAAATTCTGTCTGCCTCTGCAATGCAGAGCTTGTCTGCAGCAGACAATTCTGTTGTGTAGGACAGTCTGTCTTTCAGATGGTAAGTTCTCTTCCCTTACTCAGAAATTGTTTTCCTCAGCATTCATACATGCCAAATGAGAGCTATGGCTGGCTCATTAAGAGGTACAGTAATTCATTCTTATTTAACACAAATGCAAGCGGTTTGGTGCAGGACTCACTCTGTGACCTGTCATTATCATTCCCTAAGTAAYTGTGGATGCCTCCTGGGGATAAGGTATTCTTCAGATGAAAATTTGACTTAAGCACAGGTATTACAAGAGTTAAAACTGTCAGCATCAGTCCTGGGATTAGAGCTGTGGGGAGTCCARCTGAGTACAAAAAAATCCTTTCCTTCTGCCTTTAAGGAAGATCTCTGCTAACCAGGCTCTATTTTCTTAACCTGATTTTAATCCTGCTCTAAAAAAATGTCCAGAATAAAAGGCAAAATCAGATTAAATTCTGCCAGGTCTGGTGGAACACACTAAACCACATACAGGTAACATCAGTGGGACTGTAGAAAAAGTGTACAGCAAGGTAAAAGCATAAATCTTAAAAAAAACCTGGGGCCAGAGTACACTGATGTCTCTGCAGTTATCTTTAAATAAGTAGAAGACCAAATAAGAAGCATTTCGGCACTGAATTGACTGTTTTACAGAGCAGCAAGGCTGTGTGAACTTTGTGGCTCAGCTGCAGAACAGCAGCAGCAGAATGGGCAAAGAAGCCTTTCTGAAAGCAAAGCTTAGACTTGGGCTGCATGGCAATTAGCAAGTGAGTGTTGCATGGCATTGCTTTCTGAAAAGACATTATTTTTACTTATCTCTGTTCCACATCTGATTTTAAATGTATTTTTAGCAAGATGGAACGCACAGCATAATTTGAGCAAAGCAAGGGCTAGACATTTGCCTTTAAAATGTTATTTGGAGGTTAAAGCTGAGGGCAAGAGCTCTCTCCGCAATTTATTTCCATTTATGCCCTCAGCTTAGTGTTTTTCAAGACACATGCCTTCAGATGCCTGACTCCTTTGCTGCTTTAGAGATGATAGTTAGRACATTGTTTAGTTACCCAAAGCAGTATTATCTTTCCCAAAACAATAGACATTCAAAGATTAATAATTATGATAGCACTGAAAGGTTTACAGRTTGATTTTCTCTGAGATCCCACTGTTGTTTTTAAGGATCTGATGAAACGTTTTGTTCTGGTTTCAGCTGGGATAGAGTTAATTTTCTTCCTGGTAGCTGGTACAGAGCTGTGTTTTGGATTTAGGATGAGAACAATGTTGATAACACATTAACATCCTTAACTGTTTCTATGAAGTGTTTACACGATTGTCAAGGACTTTTCAGCTTCTCATACGCTCCCAGCAAGAAGCTTGGGGGCAGGGACAACAACACAGCTGGGACAGCTGATTTCAGTTAGCCAAAGATTATTCCATAACAAATGGCATCATCCTCAGTATACAAACTGAGGAAAAGCTGACCAGAGGCTGCTGTTTGGGAACTGTCCAGGCATCAATCAGCAAGTGGTGAAAAACTGCATTGTGCACCACTGGGTTTGTATTATTATTATTATTATTATTATTATTATTATTATTATTATTATTATTATTATTATTATTATTATTATTATTATTATTATTTTCTGTCTCATTAAACTGTCTTTACCTTGACCTACAAGTTGGACGCTTCCAATCATCTCCCCCATCCTGCTGGGGAGGGCAGTGAGCCCACAGCTGTGTGGGGCTTAGTTGCTAGCTAGGGTTAAAAAACAGGCTTCAAGGAGCATTTTCTAGGACCCCTGAATTTGCATTTGCAGCTCTGAAATTCCAAATACCTAGAAAGAATGTGAAGAAAAAGACCTTGCTCTGAAATAACTCTCCCAATTAATGTTTGTAAGTGAAGTTATGAARCACATTCTCTTTTCAAGGTCATCCATAGTAGGAACTGAAGAAATCATCATTGGGTAGGTGATGATTTCATACCTGTAGGTATGTGTATGCTTTTATATGTATGTAAAAATAAATTAGCCAAAATAAAGGAACAACCTGACCTAACATCAAAGTTAGCCTTGCTATGAGTAGGGGATTGGACTAGATAATTTCCTGAGGTACCTTCCAACCTGAATTATTCAATGATTCTAACTTGCTTTTCCATTGTTATCTTTGTTACTGCAGGAGAGATGCCAGTGCTTATTTTAGCTGAGCTGCTATAGATAATACAACTGCTTTCACTTAACAGCTTGTCTGCTTAAGTATTTTAATTTTTTTTWATTAAATAAAATGGCATTTATGCTGTGCTCTGGATTCCAAAAAGCTTTGTGTTCCACTGAAAAACTGCTGATCCTAGCACCGAAATGTAGTCCAGATTTTTGATGCCCAGCAAATTTTTCATTTTTTTAAAATCACTTAGACTAAGGAATGAAGTCCCTGCAAGTGCTAAGTGAAGCTGTTGATTAACATCACTGGATTGACTGTTACGTGGTATGTAGGTATGCAGAGAGTTTTGACATAATATGTACGGGTTGGTTGTGGAGAATGAGATGGTCTTTACTTAAGRGAGAAGATTCTATTAGTCATTACTTGTACACTGGATCTTGCAAAAAGGAGAGGCATTTTGGTGACCATCACTGAAATTGCTGGGGTGAATCTCTCCTGTATGGCGGCTGCTCAGGGCTGTGGTCTGATAGCGCTGTGGTCTGACATGAGATCCCTTGCCCAGAAACGTCATACGTTTAAACAAGAAGAAGAAAAAAACCCATCCAGATTGAAACAATTTGAACTATCTTCACAGAATCAATTAGGTTGGAAAACACCTCTGAGATCGASTCCATCCTATGACCCAACACCACCCTATCAAMCAGACCAGAGCACTTTCTTAAAACACCTCAGGGATGGTAACTCTACCATTTCTCYGGGCAGCCCATCCCAATGTCTAATCACCCTATGAAGAAATTCCTCCTCATGTCCAACCCAAATGTCCCCTGGCGCAGAATGCGCTAATACCATGGCACTATGTCCTATATCCAGCCGCTCGGATCTTTTAGCACCGTCAGTGGATCGCAGACTTGCGGCAGCGMGGGTGGAAACGCGGCGGCAGCACGAGGGCGAGAGAAGGCGGCGAGACGGGTCCCGCGTCACCTGCCGGCCCCGGGGGCTGCCGCGAACACCCGTGTGCCTCCGGCCCGTCCCGAGCGGCAGCGCAGAGACCCCAAGCAGAGCACAAACCGCGACCTCCGCGGTGCTGGGCCGGGCCGGGCCGGGCTGGGCTGGACTGGGCTGGCCCCGCCCCCGCCGGGCCCCGCCCCCGCCGCCATCTTTGTTGATGTGTCAGCGCGCCGGGCCGGGGCGGCCGCCGGGGGAGCGGGGCAGTGCCGTGCTGTGCCCGCCATGGCTGCGCTGCCGCCGCTCCTGCCGCCCGAGTAGCGACCGGGTGAGTGATCCGCGCCGCAGGAAGGGCGGGCGGTGCCGGCGCCCCCCAGCCCTGCGGGTGCTGCGGGGCTCCCGAGGGGGCGGCGCGGGGCGGCTGCGGCCGATAGCGCCGGGACTCGGCGGGACGGGACGGGCTCTGCACGGCGGGCTCGGCAGAGGTCGCGGGGCCGCTGATCCGCGTCACTGTCAGCGGGAGATAAACCCCCAGCGACCGCGGGGGCGGGGGAAGGACGGGAGGGAGGGAGGCAGAATTCCCCCGGGTGGCGAGGGGCTCTCCCTGTGCAGGTGGGGGCACTGGGCTGGCACAGGTCACCGGGGCCGTGGGTGAGCCGCRGGAGATGGGGAGCGAGGTGACCGGAGAGCCGCGGGGTGAGGTCCTGCCAATGCACTGCGTTCCCAGGCAGGACCTCCGAGCGGGTAGCGCAGGCTCCTGTGTTGGCTCGTAATCTCTTTGTTTCTGGACAGCTTTCATCTTCACGGTATTAATTAGGTTGTCTTGTTTCATTGGCTCTATGTTGATTTCGCTGTACGGTTAAATAATTAGATAACAAAGCCCCGCAACTGCTGTGAAGGTTATTTTTTAGAGCTGGCTACGGTGTTGCGGTAGAGTATACGTCCTTGGTTTTGCAGATGGTATTTGCAAAAGCTGCTTGCCCTTCTAGGTTTGAAAGAAGGACTTTAGCGAGATGATTATGGTGTAGGCTTGCGGATTTTGGCTCTTGTCCCGGAAAATAGTCTGCRCAGGTGAGTCTGATATGAGTGTACTTCCAATGAGACTTTGTGCAGACTGAAAGAGGATTTCTTAAGAAATTAAAATCTATGTGTAAGATGAGAAGTATGGCATTCTGGCTTTAGTGCTGGTTTGTTTTATCGTCTTGTAAAACTGCTTTTCAGAAGTGAAAATGTTGTAAGCAGAATATGCTAAAACCCCACTTATGGCCAGYATCCCCAGTATGTTTTGTTGTATAAGGGAATTGTTGAAACGGTGAGCCACAGCTGTGTTTCTGCATGGACAAGGATATGTAGTYGCTGGCTGTTATGAATGCTTATGTTACTGTTGACTTTTGGGAGGAGATGGTTAAGCTCTAGAGATAGGAGATGCTGAAAATATAAAGATGTTTTAGGAGGCTTTGATGACATTTGAAATGTCATCTGTTTTATGAAAAAAAGTGAACTAGTTCTGTGTTGCATTTGAGGTCCTCTTTTCCTGCAAATCTTCCATCATCTGTTCTTGTCTTGGTTTTAAAAAAGTTTTTTTTGTCATTTTATAAGGCTCGATTTGGAGTTGTTGACAGATTGTTTATTGGCATTGTGARGTTCCCTGTTTCAAAGTGTTGAGAAAAGGAGTGAAGAACCAAATACAGAGAGTAGTTTATTTGCTTCTAATTAGCAGTTCTGTTGCTTGACAYTACCTGAGGCTAATATTGAATTTCCTGAAGCTGACTTTTTAAAGASCTATGAAAAATAGAAAGGCAATGTTTTTCTGGATTGAATAGTGTTATTAGGCAGTTGAATTAGTAGATGTGGGCTCCAGGAAGCAATATCCTGTACTTAGTTCTGGGCTGACTTTTTCTGAACTTATTTTCTAATTGCCATAAACAATATTGGAAAGCCTTATGGGTAAAACTTACCTTGAGGTCATAATCAAAGACTCTGCTGCCTCAAATGGATGGTGAAAAAAGAACCTCATCAGAAACAAATCAGTGTCAGATTGGAGRAGAAAATCATGGCCCTGATCTGTCTATAATACTACCTATTAGATTAATTAACAGAAATCAGTTTTCTGTGGAGTGCACAGCTGACTGTTCCACACCCTTAAAGGGTTGAAGTGTTTACTTGTTTTTGTTTTTTTTTCAAGGATACTGGAAAAAAACCCATGAAAGTCTGATTTGAAATCAGTAGAACTGATTTCTCCCCAAATTGTATTKTTCAAYGTGCARTGATCATGTAGACTGTAATTCCATGGCTGCAATTTTATAGCCTTTTGCATGTTCTGGATACAACATTTAAAAAGAGCCATTGAAAGGAAACATGCTGTCATCTCCAGTGCCAGTTATACCAAGATCCATCTTACCCATTCCATGACACTTTATGTTTGTAAGGTCTGCCAGAGCTTCGACTTCTGTAGTGTGAGCAAGAGTTATGGCTCTGTTATAGGTGTAGAAGAACTGTCATAGAATGTGTGCTTTGTCCAGGTTGTGTACTCTAGTCATAAAATTGATTTCTTCCCGTTGCTTAAGAGATTCTTCTTTGCACAGGCGATGTTATCAGAGTCAGAATGTGAGTGCAAACAGGGTTCTTGTAGGGACAGAGCTGCTTCTGGCCTTGTAAGCAAAGCTGAAGGCAGGATGCTAAAACCTGAAAGGTTACAATAGTGCTGTTGCTGGCATCACATTAATTACTGAAGTTGATACTTTTTTTAATGTGGAAAAGTAAGGGTTGCTCTGTGCTGAAGACACACAGAAGATTACAAGTCTTTGTGTAAACTCTGAAGTATCCAAGTCTCATGTGATGTTTACAGTAAAAGGATGCTGTTGCTGATGTTTTGTGTTCACCGATACATGAACTTCCAATCTCAGGGTTTGTATGACAAAAAATAACACTCTCRAGATGTACCCCATGACTTGTGTGTTGATGGGAGCAAATCCAGCCTCAGTTGTTAAACCTTAACTGATGAACTCTGTTTTGGAGTTGTTCTGTTACTTGACTCCAGACAYGGAGTTAATATGACCATAATATTAACTGTGTGCATGAGATTGGTAGAAAACYAGGTGGTGCTGTGAAGGAATTGCACACCTTTGCTCAACTATCTAACTTGTGATGTAAGGGAAGGAAAGCAAAGATAAAGTTGGAGTAAACCTTGTCTTCTAAAGTACTTGTCTCATGTTCAAAGAGTTCATAGAAATGCTKMGCTTTGCACCTTGGCACKGCCATTGGCATTTAATGAAGTCAGATTRAAAACCTGAGAAGAATAATTGAGTTGAAGTGTTAAACTGATAAAAGCAAGGAAATCCTGAGAGTACCCAGTGTGTATTCTCACTGTTCCACTCCCTTCCCTTCCAGCATGTGCWTCAAAGCAGGTCTTTGTGTGAGCTGAGTCAGGGGCTGTGTCAAGTTCTGCCTGGGCTGCAGGACTCAATGTCCCAGTGTGGAGCCACCTTTTCCATGTCTGTTTGATCTTGGGCAAAAGGGAATTAATATTGGGAAGGCTGGTGTAGGTGGGACTCTGTTGTGTTTCTTTTGTTTCCTATATGTGCTGTCTGTAAGTAGTGGAAGACTGTGGGTGTCTGTTTTGTGTGGAATACAAGCAGTGGTGATCAACATCATCTCTTCTTCAGCTTAAGAATTCTGTCTTTTTATTAGGCAGTGATGAATTTTCAGATGAACAATGCAGTTCATCTTGTTTTTGTGTGTTTCATAACTTGAGGGGCTTGCTGCTCTGATTAATATTGGATGTGGAATTGTAATCAAATTCATAAACCTGAAGCCACAAGGACTGTTTGAAATTTGTCTCRCACTAGATTATGTAAAATACCTGCTTTTTTGGAACCATTTTATCCCAGTCCCTTTCAATTTAGTTCAAACCTTTAATTTGCCCCTCTACACAGCTGCTATACACTAGAGCTGGATTTTGTGTYTTACAATGTAAACCAGAACTTCTTTAGCAGAATTCTCTTTTTCTTCGATAAACTTCARTTGAAAACAGAGTTATCCCTAGGTACTTGAGCTTCCTTGTTTTGCATTGTTACCTGGTGACATAATGCTTAGTCTGAGGAAGCCATTTGTGACTGAGTTCTTGTGAAAGGTGTAATGCAAAACACAGGTAAGTTGGGTATTAATTGGAAACAATAAGAAAGTTTGTTTTGCTGGTCAGTGTGTTGACTAGTARACAGTAGTTAAGGAAAAGGTAGCTTCAGGAAAAAGAAACAATAAATTTCACCCAATAAGTGAAGTAGAAAGGTGTGTTCAGTCTCTCCTGATTAGGTAAAAGTATTATTAGGATTACACAAATGATGAGCTAAAACAAATGATAAAAGTTCTCTTCAATTTTGTTTTTAGTCTTACTGTCATGTAAAATCGTTAGCAAGAGTTCTAATGCAATGACAGGTTGGCACTGACTTAAAAAAGCATTTTAGTTTGCTTAAATGATGGTTATTGTGTAAAAAATATATGAATGAACAATGAATTTCAATGAGCAACGCAACTGTGAGACATTAGAAATGTTTTCATACTCCCAAATTATTCTTTAGCAGTCTTGTTGGGTTGTCATTATACACATGGTAGCATGTAAACTGTTTAACAGGTTCATCTCTTATTTGAATATAATGGGCTGGAAATTAGAGCTGAATTGAAGTGGCAACTGATTCTAACAGTTGTCTGGCTCTTAATGGTTACTTTGATATCTCAGTCTTAGGAGAATGTGTTTAAAGATAATAGTACTTTATTCTTCTGTTATGATTCATCTAAGATTGTGTTTCTAATAGCATATTTTATAGCATGATAGCTAAAGGAGACAAATAGACCTTTGTGGTTCTCTTCAAGCTGTTTTGTTCTTTCTAATAAGTGCTGGGGCATTTGTGAAGCTTTTTTATATTGAGTTGCTGTTGCTTTATGTGTGTGTGATTTGTCAGGAAAACTCTACAAATCATTATTATTCTTTTCAGTCTTCTTTAGCCAATAAATCCTAATTAAGTCTTTGAAATACAAAGTCCATCTCCSGTGTTCCACTGGATTATATTGCATCTCCCATTAACTCTTGAATTTTCAACTGAACTGGCTAAATCACTTGTACTCTCTCTTTTTGTTGCTCAGGAACCTGCAAGAGAGAAGTGGGTCTGTAACTGAGCTGTTCAGATGCTGCTGATGTGCAGCTTTTGCTTTTATTTGTGTCTTCTGATGAGCATYGGAGCTTCATCAAGAAAGTCTTTGTCTTACTGTTGACATTTCAGTCGTATGTCACTTCATTTCATAGATGCATGAGTGGAAATGTAAGGCTGAATA